GCCGTCACCCATCCAGAGGGGGCACTTCATTGCCTCACTCCAGCCTCCAGATACTCCCGTGGGGGCTGGGGCAGGAGCCTGCCCTCTGAAATCAGGACCTGAGAGTCTCCCCACGTGGAGCATGCTTTCCGGACAGGGTGGATGTCACTGGCTGACCCCAGGTGCAGGCAGCATCCTGGTGAGAAGCTGCCTCCCTGTCCCTGTGGCCTCCCAGCCTCCTGGAGACACCCTCCCTGGGCAGATCTCAGCTGCCCCAGGTGAGTCCCGGTTTCCTAGGCAGAGTCCACGTGTCTGGAAGCACGTTTCTTCTGGGAGTTTGAAGTTGTTGAAGTGGCCATCCTTCCCTGAGCTGGGTTTTGCAGGTTCTCTCAGTACAGAGATCAAGAGCAGAGAATAGGGCCCTCCCGGCAGCGTGGGGGCTCCTTGCCTGGCTCTGTGCCCCCACTGCCAGGCCCCACATCATCGTGGGGGCTGCTGGGCCTGCCCCCACCCTGAGCCTGAGCACCGGCCAGGAGCCCCTGGGTGCTCCCGTGTGGGTCAAGACCCTGCACACAGACTGGCCACTGCTGTGTGTGCGTGCGTGCGTGTGCGTGCGTGCGTGCGTGCGTGTTGCCCTGCGTCCTTCCATCCTCCATGTGGCCCACCTTCTACACTAAGATTTAAGATGTTGCCTCATATTGTACATTTTGGGGAAAGCCTTGGGTGTAAATCAGTGTAAACTTGGAGGAGAGATTTTTCTATCATGTAGAGTAGGTATTTTTTATAGATTGAAGGTTGATCAATTTTTTAATACTTCCAAGAGAGAAAACTATCTGTGTATACACATAAAATATATATATATGTATGATAATAAATACTGGAACTCTGCTTTCCGTGCCCAGCCCTGCCCTGGTGACACAGACATGGGTCTGTTTCTGTCCATCACTCAGCGGTCCTGTAACTGTAAATATGAATTGCCGGGAGATGTTTCACACGGACACCCAGGCCTTCTACTTGCACAGTGACTCTGTTTCCTTCCCCTTGAGAAAGACTCTTCAGGCAGAGCATTGGTGGCCCGGATGCTGAAGGGCAAGTCCAGGACAGTCTGGCTGAAGATTAAAGCTGTCTATACACACAGAGGCCGGCCTCTTCCTCCGTGGGGTCTGGGGGCTGGGTGGGGTGCCATGGGCCTGGCCCCCCAAGGTATTGGGGGGGGCTGTGTACCATGTGAGCTCTGCAGGAGACCTGGTCAAGCTGACCCCTCCCGGAGGTCCCAGGGTTGCACCTCCAACCTGGACCCCCAGCAGAGCTCAGCCGAGGGGCCCTCCTGGGGTGGGGCCATGTGATGGGTCCTTTGGGGTCACGGGTGTTCACGGTAGGACATAGCTGAATGCAGGCTGGGCTGAGGGGTTGCATCCCAGGTCAGGGACTTGATGTCCCCGTGGGACGTGTAATCAGGGATGATGAAAAGGCCTGTGGGGTTCATGAAGATTACCCAAACTGAAAGCACATGCTCTGGCAGGATTTGGCTTGAAGATGAGGAAGAAGGTCGGGCTGGTGGCCAGGCTGGGGAGGAGAGCTCAGCTACCACCATTGTCACGGGGAGGACCGTAAGAAGGTTCTTTGGGTAAGTGGGCATATGTAATTTGAAGTGGGAGTTGTTAGCCAAAGTCCCCAAACTTGATTCCCCAGCCCAGGCATCCACGTGAGCAGCAAATCATGCGTTTACCATCTCCCTCACACTGAGCTAGCTACCTGCATGTCAGAGACAAATGGACCAACTGAGGCCCACAGAAGGCCAAGGACCCCACCGCCAGCCACCCAGCAGGGCACTGAAGGGGCTTGAGCCCAGGTATGCTGGCCTATGGGGCCAACGACCTGAGGGCGGTGGTGAGTGGACATGGCCTGGCTTGTGGTGAGCAGGGGCCCCAGGACTCCAAAGGGTCACCAAGGTCAGGCCTGGGAGACCTGGATGCTGTGTAGGTTGCAGTGAAGCGGGAACCTGGGGGCTGTTGGGGTGTGGACATGTCCAAGGCCAACTTCCTGCCCAGAGCCACCTCCTGGCTAGTTTTCCGGGGTCTGGAGAGTATGTAAAGGTCCAGGCTCCCACCTGTGCTCCTGATGCTCCACGCAAGTACTTCCCTAAACAGGCAGACCAACGCGCTCTCGTTAGCAAGCCCATCAGTGGGACTTGTGCCCAGCTGCCCACAGGTGGGACCGGCAGAACTCGTGGACCGGGATGGATGGCATTGTGCTGTGGCTTGGGGTAGAGGCTTCAACCCCAGACTACTGTTGGAGCTCTGCACATAGGGCCTGCTCAGCCCTAGGGGTGCCAAAGTGCTGCCGTGGCAAGTTCAGGTCAGTGAGTGTCCAGGAGAGCCTGGTCCCCAGCCTGGGTGCACTTGGTGACACCCGCCTTCCACCTACCCTGTCGGCCCGTCTGGAGCCTGCAGGGCCCATCTCTGCCTAGGAGAAGCTGAAAGTGGGGAGGGGGCCTAGCTCCATCAAGTGTTTCATTTATGCTCTTAAACATGTGGGGGCCTATCCATGGTCTGGCCCCACCAGCAGCCGATTCTGAGATCCTGCCCTGGCCCTCCCAGGGTCCCTAGTCCAATGGGGAGACACAGTTATCCACTGGAACACGGTGGGGCCGCAGAACACTTGGAAATCCACCATAAATGGAGACAGCAGTGCCCACTGCCAGCCAGGAAGGGCCCCCCGGGGCTAATCCTGTCTCAGGTCAGCTCATGTTGGTAGAGGATTGCTTGAACCTTCCAAGTCTTTGTCAGTCCTGCATGATGGAGGAGCACAAAGCAAGGAAGACAGCTACTGGTGGGTGGGTGCATGGCTGTCGTGGTTCAACTGTCCCTCGAGCACCGCCCAGCCCCTTGCCTCGGCCCTGCTCCAACCAAGCCATGCTGAAGGAAGGGTGCCCATGTTTGCTCCCAGCCTGGCTGCCCCAGCACCTGCCCTTCCACCTGCTGGCAGTTCAGAGACCTGCAGTTGGAGGCCCTGGGAAGGGCCCTTTTTACCTTATATGAGCATTTGCTGTCCTGTTTAAGCCAGGCATGGGGGGTAAGGGGCGGTTCACAAAGCAGGCAATGATGGGTCATTCCTTAAAATTGGCCAGAGCACAGGTTGCACAGCTCTCAGCACAAAGGTGTCTTGCACTTGACCCACCTTGGCCCCAGCATGCATGTCCCACTCCTGAGGATCCCTGAGCCCAAATCCCATTAGAATCTCTATTCCATGATTGGGCCCTTTGGGTCCCAAAGCTGAGAACAGCACAGGCACACAGGGACGCTCGAACCAACGCACAGGGCTTTGTGTCCGGCCCTTCCCAGCCCTTGGTCAGCTCCCTCCTCTTGGACATGGAGCAACTCCAGTCCTGAAGACTCCTCCTGAGGCCTTCTTGTGGTGACTCGGCTTCTCCCCCAACAAGAGGCCTTGGCCCCTTTCTGGGGAGGGCAAGAATGCTCCTTACCCCCATGTAGGCTGTGGCTCTGAAAAACTGCAGCGAGCAGACAGGGATCTCAGCTGTTTCAGCTGCTTCTCTTGTTGGGAGGTTACAGGGCTGTGGACGCCAGTCCAACAGCCACCCCAGCCAGTGTCCATTGGAAGGGGGAGGGGAGGGAAGGGGAGCTGTGGTTACTGAGCCTTGCCGCGCCCCCCCCCCCAGGAGATGGCCCTTGACTCTCTCCCCTCATGTGATTCCACAGCCACACGAGGTCAGAGGCCACATGTCACCTTCATGCAGGTGAGGAAGCGCAGGGCAGGCCAAGTCACTCAACAGCTCTCTGTCCCCACAAGCTTGCTGCTTAGAGCACTCAGGAAGCAGCTCCATCCCTGCTGCAGCATCTGGAGAGTGAGACAGGTTTTCCTGGGGCTTGGTCTCCTGGGAGCACTGAGCCCTGTCCCCGTAGGTCCTACTGAGGTTAGCTTTCTGGGCACTGGAACAGACATGACCCAGTCTGGAGGCAAAATTGGGCCACAGCCACTCTCCCTGAATCCCTCTTAGCTGACATGCCTTGCTTCCGCGTCTCCTGCCTGACCAGTGCCTCCCCAGGCTCCCCAAGTGCCCCCGATTGCCTCCCTCTTCCCGCTCTACAGCTTCCCTGTGCTTCACTTGCATCTGATAAACCGCCTTCCTGCATGTCCTGCTGCAGAGGGGCCTCCAGTTTCGTGACTGCTGGTTGTGAGTGACCTCAAGCTGCCCAAAGGGAACCTAATGGGAGACACTGGACCTAGGAGGCTCTAATGTGAATTTGGCGAGGGAGGGTTCCTGTTCAGAGGCCCCGGCGGAGCAACACCGCCTTCCCAGGTTTAGGGGTCTTACTGCCGGGCGCCGGGCTGAGCGCTCCGTGGATGGTATCTCATTTCGTCCTCTTTTACCGAGGAGGACACCGAGGCCCACAGAAGTAATGTGACCGCGCCCCGCTGTGAGTGCCAAGGCCTCGTCTCCACCCAGGTCGGTCCCACCAAAACTGGAGCTGTGGACCACGAAGCCTTGAAGAAGGGCAGAGAGGGTCTGGGGCAGCTGGAGGGCGGGAGGCAAGGGGGAGCTCAGGAGACCCAGGCAGGGCGCTACGGAGGTCTGCGGGCCGCGTGGACACGGGGGGCCAGGGCAGAGCCGGGGTCTCGTCCAGGCAGCCGGGAGAACCGGCCAGAGCCTCGCACCTCGGCCTGCGAGGGGGGGCCGGAAGCGCAGAGACTGGGCCGTCTGGAAGACCCGCCCCTTCCTCCCGCGCAGGCTATTCTGGGAGTAGTAGTCGCAGTTCTGTCCTCGAAGCATCCCTTCCGCCACTCGGAGCCAGACCCGACACGCGGCGCCGCCCGGGCCCCGGGGTTCGGCCATCTCCAGCGGTGCTGGTGGGCGGGGCGGCCCGGGAAGTCGGCGGGCTCCTGGAGGGAGCTGATCGCTGCGGCAGTTGGCAGACACCCGAGGACTACAACTCCCGGTCCGCATCGCGCGCCGGGCGCAGCCCCGAGCTTCCGGCCTGGCGGCGTCGCACAGCCCTGTGGGAGCGGTAGTCCGCGCGCGCGATTCACAGCGCCGTGTGCGCCTCAGGCGCGCCGCAGCTGCGGGGCCCCGGCCAGGCGCTACGCTACGGAGGCGGCGTAGCGCGGGCGCCGGACGCGGGCCGGGTCGGGGCCGGCCGGGCCGGGCGCGCTGCAGCTCCGCCACTCAGCGGGGGAGGCCGGCGGCAGAAGTTGTGGACCGGCCGGCGCAGGCGAGCAGGCCCGGGGCCGCGCCGCCCGGGCCGCGGGGACTGAGGAGGCGCCGCCAGGTTGCGGAGGTGAGTCCGGCCGGCAGGGCCGGGCTGGGCCGGGGGCGCGGCCTGGACCCCCGCCGGAGCCCGGGCCCGGCGGGCAGCGCGTCTCGCCGCCGGGGGCTACCCCCCACCCCCACCGCACCGGCGCCCCCCGAGCTTTGGCCGCAGCCCGGGCTGGGCTGGGGCGCCGCTGAGAGGGGAGCGGGCGCGGACCCGGGTCATCTGGGTCATTGGGAGACCAGCCCCGGGGTGCAGCGGACACCGGAGGCCGCCCCAGCCCCAGCCTGCCCTTGAGTGCCCTTACGGTCCAGGCACGTTCTGATCCCGCCAGCGTTCCGGGACGTGCCCCCCCGCTGCCTCCCGCTGTCCCCCGCTGCCCCCTCATTCCTCCCCACAGAGGGACCGCGGGCACTTCCCGGGGGCGGCGCCCACCGGCCGCCCCACACTTCCTCTTCCCTGTTCCTCTGGTTTGGCTCTGCGGTGGCGGCGGAGTTACAGGGGGGCCCCTGAGAATGGTGGCCAGGCTGCTGGGCAGCCCCTGGCTCTTCCTGCTAGCCTCCCCTTCTCGTCCTGACCAGGGGACCGTTGTGGGCTCAAGTGTCCCTGACTGGGTGGCTCTCGGGGCGGCCCCCTTACTGCGCGGGAGTTTGTGAGCAGCCAGCAGGCAGCAGGACCCCTGCGAGACCAGGCCTGGGAGTTTGGGGTCCTGCGGAGGAGCAAGCTGGGTGCCCAGTGGGGCCTGCACTGGGGCCAGGCATGCAGGGCAGCGTGAGTCACAGGTCATGTCCAGAATCCCCTCCGTCCCCAGAGATGGGGCTAGGGGAGGAGTGGGGGTAATTACATCCCTCCACTCCCGAGTGACTCCGATGTGAAAAGAGAGAGAGAGAACTCAAAGAAGGAGGGCCCCAGACAGGCAGGGGAGCTGCGGACTCAGCTTGCAGGAAGCCTGGCCTTGGGTTGGGTGCTTCTTACTTCCTCTCAGATCATTTAGCTCCCAGAAGGGGCACTTCTCTCCCCTTCCCTTCTGCATCTCAAATCTCTGGAGCTGCTCCCGAGCCGCCTGGCTGGTGACCTCGTGACCTCCTGAGAGCCAGTGTAAGCCCCGCTGGGCCCAGGGCTCAGGGACCGCACTGCTAGGCCATGGGCTCTGAGAGCAGGCAGTGGCCGGGTCCTGAGTGCTCTGCCCTGCACCAGAGAGGTGATGGCTGGCTTGACAGTGGTAACGTTGGCCGAAGCTTCTTGCACTCATGGCCTGTGTCCAGCTCTCCGGGCCCCTGTCGTGGCTAGCACCGGGGGAAACCCTGCTTTCAGACAAGTAGACCGAGGCCAAGGGGCACAGGGGGCTGCACATGCAGGTCTCTGACCTGATGCACGAGGCTGCCTTTTTACCACCTCATTGCACTACCTCCTGTATGGGTCTTATATATGTGTGGCAATTGGAAAGAAGCATTCTCCAGCCTAAAAATTCCTGGAAAACTGCAGCTATCTTTCATGGGCCCACGGTGGGTGAAGAGCCCGAGGGGGTAGCCACCCACAGTCTTGCAGTTTGGGCACAGAGCAGCCCCGGGCCCCCCTCAGCGTGCCACCTGCACTCTCCAGCTCAGGCACAGACGGTGCTGGAAACGCAGGGGGCATGGTTAAATGGGAACGGTCTAGGCTCTTTGAAGAACATGGCTACAGAAACCAGGAAGCACTGGTGACTGGTCACACGCATCCACGAGCATCCTGCCGCTCTGTGCCAGACTGTGAGGCTGCAGTGTGAGGCCCAGGTCGGCGTGGGGACACGCGCTGGGTGGCTTTGGGGGTTTCTTCATCAGACTAAAAGCCTGGGCCCAGACCCCAAGCAAGGACACTCTCAGGCCCTGGGTGTGTGGAACGAGCTCTGGGGTCAGACCTGCTCCTGTTCTCCCCCCGCACCTGGACTGCTCCTGGCACCGCCTCGCTGCTCTGTCCCTCTGGTTGCACCCTGTACCCCATTACTCAGCACCAGTATCCCAGAAGTATCCCAGAGCAGAACTGTGAGCGTGTCTGTTCCCTAATCTCCTGTGCTGAGCTCCTCGGCGTGGACCCAGGATGCCCCACCTCCCTTCCTGCTTTGCTGAGAATGACCAGAAGACCTGTGCCAAGCTCTGACCCTGTCCCTTGGACCCGGTCCCTGGCTTCTGTGCTGCTCAGCATCAGCCCAGCCACCCCGAGGAGGTGGTCAGTGAATGTCCTCTGTCAGCTCCTTGCTGGCAAGCAGCCCCATCATCCCAGGGCAGTCCAGAATGGCACCTTGCAGCCTTGCAGGGATGAGGAGTGGACTTGCTGGCTTCCACCCTCTTTTTTTTTTTTTTTTTTTTTTAAGATTTTATTTATTTATTTGAGAGAGAGAGAATGAGAGAGAACACATGAGAGGGGATAGGGTCAGAGGGCAAAGCAGACTCCCTGCCGAGCAGGGAGTCCGATGCGGGACTCGATCCAGGGACTCCAGGATCATGACCTGAGCCGAAGGCAGTCGCTTAACCAACTGAGCCACCCAGGCACCCAACTTCCACCCTCTTTGAATGAGCTGGAGGGAGGCTGTGGGGTGAGGCTGGGCTGCCTCCACATCTTAAGCTTGGAGACCTGCGCAGCCATACCCTGTCATTCTGTGGGTCCTGGCAGTAGCCCAGGGAAGGGTCTGAGAAAGGGTTCTGCAGACAGCCGTATTAGTGCCACCAGGACAGGGACAGCCAGGTGCAGGGGAATGGGGGCTATGGGAGGACGGAGGGGGGTCCTGGCCCAACACAGACACCCCAGGAGGGGCTGGTGGGGAAGTCAGCAACTCAGTCCCCCTGCAAGGACTTGTCTGGGCACCAGGCGTGGATTCGCAGGAGACCGAGGGGAACGCATGCGTGTAGCGGCCTCAGCGCCTCTGTGCTGGTGCGCCCCATCACTCTCAGCAGCTGCTCCACGCCGGCTCACTCTTGCTTCTCCCCACGATTGGGGGGCGCTTTGTCCCCACCTGCCTGGTGGCCAGGCTGGGGCATGTGCCTGGACGGTGCTGCAAGAGAATCAGGAGGAAAGCAGGTGAATCACTACTGCCTGGTGGTGTCACGCGTGCCTGTGTGCACAGGAGGCCTTGGCTGCCCCTTCCTGCCCCTCCCATGCCGTCACCGCCCAGACCTGAAGCAGCGCGAGTTCCTTCTTGCACTCCGTCCCCTCAACATCTACGCTTCTCATAAAAGTTGCCCTTTGGAATTAAATTCACCTTGAATCCCAGGACCTTCTGCCCTAACCTGGTATTCCCTCCCTCTGTTTAATAGGAGAGGGGGCATGTTCTAGAGCCCTGCCGTTCTGGAAAGGTGGTTGCAGAGAGGCCCGAGCTCATGGGGCCCGGACCACACGGCTCCACAGCTCCCCGACTGCCCGTCTTCCTACCTTGGGGTGAGCTGAAGGCTCAGATGCCCCCATGACCCCCTGAAATCTGGGCTGCCAGTGAGGCCAGAGGTCACCAGGCTGCCACCTGGCAAACAGAAACACAGAAGTACCTAAAGTGAGAATGCACATCTGGTGCCGTTTCTTTCTCTGTAGAAAATATTATCTGATGTTAAACGGTATCGAACTCGTGAACTAGGAAACTGAAATCCTAAGAATGTCCCTGTTGCCCTGAAAACGCTGTTTTGGAAAATGTAATTTCCTTTTTTGTGATGCACAACTGAGGTGGCATATGACCCCACAGACACAAAAGGACGTGCAGCGACCCTGTTCCCTCTGTGTGGGCAGCGCTGGCCCCCCATGCATGAGTGTGCGTCTGGTTTGAGAGGCCCGTCTGCTCCCCTCCCACCGTGGTGCCCCGATGTGCCCAGGAAGCCAGGGGCGGGGGGTAAGCTGCACAGCGAGGAGCCCCGACTGCTGTTCTGGCCCTGGCAGCCCGGAACCTGTGGGGAATGCAGTATCTGACAGACATGGAAGAGTCCAGAAATACCAAGAGTGACCACCATCCTGTAGTGTGCTTAGGCAGCAGGTCCTGGTCAGGAGGGCAGGGGATTGGGACAGCACAATTCCTTTCAGGTTTGCTCAGGAAGTGCTGGTTACCCTCTCAAAGCCCACGGCTTTAGTCCCTAGACCTGGCTCTCTGAGGTCAGCAGGGTGGTGATGTCGCTTCTTGGGGCCAGCAGGTAGGGGTGGCTGGCCTCACCGTTTGCCTGAGGGCAACAGTGAGCCAGGGGAGGAGGCCACAGCAGGGTGGAGCCTGGGCCCTTGTTCTGGCCTGAAGGCCCAGAGGGGAGTGCGCGTGCCCCTCCCCACCAGGGTCCTCATGTGCTACGGAGAGCAAAGCTGCTGGACTTGGGGTGGTGGTTGCCCCGTTGGTGGGTAGAGTGGCCGGTGATTCTGGGATCTGAGTCCATGTGGATCTCAATAGCTGCCTGGCTGCTTGCCTGGAACCCTGCCCACTTGGGTACCTTTCCCTGGCAACCCCCACCGTGGGCAGAGCCAGGCTGAGGGAGGCCCTGTCCCCTGGGGCCCCAGGATCTTGAACAGACCCATCTGCCACTCTGGCCAGCCCATGGAGGTCAGGGGTTTTGAACTAGGCAGTGCAGAGCTGGCTGAGCAACGCGGCTCCTCTGGAGCCTCCAGCCTCCTCTGGGTAAGGGACAGATACAGTTTCTAAAGGGACACAGTCCCTCGGCCACCAACCAAGGGAGCACGCCCAAGGAGACCGAGGGTCGTTCCATGTCTGGAGGTGGGAGGCAGAACCTGGACCGGTGCCTGGTTGGCACACACTCCAGTGAACTCTGGCTCATGCTGATAAGCCTGGGGGTGGGTCTGCAGGCCCAGGGCCAGAGTCCAGAACCTTCTAGGAAAGGGAGTGCCCTCCAGGTGGATGGTGCTATTGGCAAGCCTGCTGTCGCTGAGTCTTCCTTCTGCGTGGGGAGGGTCTGGCGTCTGCTGTGCCAGGAGAGCCCTTTCCCGAGTGCTGTGGGTACGTCTGGGCTGCAGGTTGTTCGCAGAGTGGCAGGGCGTGAGTGCAGTGTGGGCAGTCCCTCTCCCCGCGACAGTTCCCTGGCCTCTCTTTAGAATCCCTACCCTGACAATGTTTGGTTCCCTCGGGCCACCTTGAGTCTGAGGTGTGAGACCATGGTCCCGTCTTTGCAGGGCGAGCTGCAAAGCAGCTGTGTCTCGCCAGGCCATGTCTGCCACACTTTTGGTGTTTCTTCCCCAAAGGAACCTCCACATACCTGATGGCCCATCCCTGATCCTGCACCCTGAGGGAGGATGCTGTCCTGCCAGTCCTGGGGGGCAGGGAGGTCGAGGTCTGGACCTCCCCAGGGGGGTCGGGCATGACTTCACTCAGGCTGGAGCCTCCTGTCCTCAGGCTACAGGGGAGAGTGCCGAGCAATGGGCCTCGTGTCTGGTGGGTGCGATTCTGGGCTTCGGCAGGGTGGCCCTTCAGGCACAGAGTGCCCTCCCAGCAGACCACTGTCCTCCGTCCCGCCCCTGTGCCCCTGTCCTGGGGCTGACTCTAGGCAGCCTGTCAGGATTCCTGCAGTTCGTGAAGGCACCGTTATTGTCAGATGGGGCGATGCACGCTGATGAGATTTAAGAAGACGCATGCCCTGGGCCCCGGGCGGGGGTGTTGTGGAGTGGGACACGAAGTTCGCCACCACCCGGGGTGAATTAGCACGGCATGGGGAGTGTGCACAGTGCGGATGTGTTTGTGGGGGAGCTGGGCAGGGCGTGTGCACACGGGAAGAGGTGTCATCAAGCAGCGTACATCTGTGCGGAGCCAGACCGTTGTTACACGGGGCTCGGGCCCCAGGAGTGTGGGACCGACTCTTTTTGCCCCCCCAGGCATGGGACAGAGTGGGCCATAAATATCCTTCATCAGGACCTGGGGTGTGGCCTACATGGTGTTCCCCTCCCTGGCCTTTACTTGCCCAGGTAAATTCTCACTTGGCAGAAACAACTTGGCTGCATCCTTGCACCGCAGCACCCCACCCCTACTCCCCACCCCCTCAGGGGGCCCGCAGGGGCTGGGAAGGGCAGGTGGGCTGGGGGAGGGGTGGTGGGGTGCCTGCCGTGACCAACCCAGGTGCTCCCCACATGGTATCTTAAAGAGGGGCCATCCTGGCCCTTCGTGTGCTCCTCACTCTGCGTGGATCGTCCCTGCTGCCCTCTTGGAGTGCCATGCCAGGCACCTGCCTCAGCCCAGGCTGGGGGACAGGCCAGTCAGCCCCTGAGGGTTAACCCCTTCGGGGGGTGGGACTGCAGCCCCACCTCCGTGGTTCCCTGAGGCCAGATCTGTGCCACTGCCCCGTTTAAATCTAGGGCAGCGGCTCCCAAATGAGGGCAAGGAAGAGCTGTGTGGCTCGTCGGGCTGCAGACAGGCGCTTTGCCCTGCGGCGCCATGTTGCAGAGCCCCCGCCCCTTTGCATGATGCAGGAGGCTGGCGTCAGCACGCTGTGCACTCTGGCTTCTGCCCAGAGACACGTTCTCTTAAGGCATAGCAGCCAGAAAGTGCGCCCTGCGTGGGCAGGGTTCAAGCGTTGTTGGGGGCCTGGCACACAGTGGAGGCCTGATGGGTGTTTGCTAAATGAGCAGAGATGCACAGAGAAATGGATGGTGCGCCCCTGGCACCTGCGGGGCTGGCCCACGTCCCATGCTCCCACCTGGGGGAGGCAGGCAGGCAGCACGGGAGGCTTTGTCCACCCAGCAGGCCTTGCCGGAGAAGAGGGCCGTGTGATGCTTGTCACCGGGGATCGGGTTTGCTCTGCCTTGTGGGAGGCCCTCACGTAGCTTTGTCTCAAGTTGCAAGGCCTGGGGAACAGGGTGTGTGAGCGTCCCCGTGCCCAGTTATTCTGATGTGGAGCCAGGGTGAGAGCCAGGGACTGGCCAGCCTGCCCAGCACAGTTTCCCGCACATCACCCTGTGCAGATGGGACTCGCAGGGTAGTACGGGGCTGGTGGCCCCTGGGAGGCCCTGCTCAGCCAGCATACTCCTTCATGGGGTCTTATTCCCAGGTCCTCTCACCACCCCCAGATGTTGGGGTGCTGTCATCCCCAAAGATCCCCAGACAGGCCCTCCTGAGTCGGCTGCTCTCTGGGGAGCATTTGCCCTTTCAGCCCACAGGGACAGGGATCTGTGCTGCCTCTGCCCTCCCAGGAGGGGCTGGGCTACCACCATGCAGCCTACCCCTGGACAGGCCTCCCACCTACCCCAGACGGGGGCCTGCAGGGTCAGAGTTCCCTGAAGATACGTCAGGAAGCTGGGGCACAGGGTACGGCTGCTGCCGGGCTCAGGGGCCACATGCTCTGCCGCGGGTGGAAATGGGGGGGCCAGCACGCTCCCTGAGCACTCCCTGCCCCACCGCTGAAGACCAGGTTAGGGCATTCGTGAGGACCAGGTGGGTCCTTGATGTGCTTCAGGCAGCACGCCCGACCTGGGCAGGACGCCTGGGAAGCCTGGGGCCACACCCTCACTAAGCCTCAGGGCTGTTTCCCCTCGGCTCTGCCTGCATCAGACGGACGTGGTGCTGACACTGTCTGCCCCCCACCTCGCCCTCTGCCTTCCCGGGGGACACAGGCAGAGCTCTCTGTCACGACCATGCCAGCCCTGGAGCCAAGTGCGAGCAGTTCCGTCCCATGGCACCTCCAGTGGGCCTGGTTCCACCTCAGGCCTCCTCTGCCCAGGATTTGGCTATGAAAGGAGCATCAGAAATGCTCCGGCTCTTCCTAGGAGGGGCTCCTGCGTGGACTGGAGCCCAGGCGTCCCAGGGGCTGTTGGGGTCTGACCTAGAACCACGGGAGAGGCAGGTGTCTGCAGTGACCCTGGCTGGTGAGGCACTGACCACTGGTGAGCATGCCCAGTGTGGAAGCCACCGGCACGCGCAGCTGCTGCCTCGAACGTGGCTCACCCACGAGGAGAGGGGCGTGACCACGGTGGAGTCCAGAGATCTCGACTGAGAACAGAGTGTCGTGCAGCTCACACATGGTTGTAGCTAAGTTTCATGCTGACACGGAGATACGTTGGATGTGTTGGGTTACAGAAGATGCATCTTCCAGATTCCTTTTATCTGTCAGTCTTCCCTTCTTCACATAGCTGCTAGATGACGGTTGGGTCTGTGGGCCAGCACCGACAGATGTTCCTCACAGGTGCGGAAGGGATGGTGTCGGCTTTGCAGGCCACAGGGCCCCCGCCTCCTCCACTCGGCTCTGGTGGTGCCCATGGGGAGGCCTGAGGCGCAGGAGACCTGTGAGGCCAACAGGCCAGTCAGGGCAGGGCTGCTCCGTCTCACGCATGTCCCCAGTCCTCTGAGTAAAGGCCATCTGAGCGGATTCTCTTGCTACACAGAGGACTCAGCTGATCTGGCCGGTGCTCATACGGGGCTGGGGGCCCAGACTTCTCCCGACCCTGGCCTCCTCTTCCGTGTCACTTGGCCCCCGCTGGCCTCCACAGCCGAGCAGGCTGCCAGTCCTCCTTGGCCCCGAGCCTGACTGGGACTTGCCTCATCTGGATCGAGCCAAGAGGCCTGCTCAACCCGTCGGGGGTCAGACGGTCTCCCTGGAGTGCAGGCCGTTCCTGCCAGAGGCCTGGCCCGCCTCCCTGGTCGTTCCTGAGTCACCCATCTCTTCTCGGGCCCTGGAGTCTGTCTGGCCTGGGGAGGCTATCCCTCCAGAAGGCTCTAGAAGGGATGTGGTAGCGACTCTGCCTGCCTCAGAGCACCGTGGGGTCTCTGCCGGGCCGCGTGGGCACTTGGCACCCTCCTCCCAAAGGCCATCCTGCAAGGATGTCCCGGCTCTGCTGCACACACTTGCTTGTTTCTCCATTTCCTTTGGCCACATGCCCCTCAGTCCTTTTTCCTACAATAAAGCATGATTGTGTGGTTTCTTTCTCACTAAGGGTATGGCTGACTCCCTTTGAAGACCAGCAAGTAGACACGTGGCCAACCCCTCTGGGCGGTTGAGGGGTTGGAGTTGGATCTCAGGAGCAGAGCAAGGGCATTGGTGGTGGGGTGGGCCTCGGGCTAGGAGCTGCAGCTCTGCACCTCAGCCCTGCTGGGACCCCCGGCTATGGGGCCTGGGTCCCCGAGGCCACTGGTGCGCTGGGGAGCCCACCCCCAGGCTTTTGGGGGCTTCTTTCCTGTGAATCATGCTGTTTCTCCTGTTTCTCTTTATTCTCTCTCTGTGTTTATTTCTGTTGTGTGATTGACCAGCCCGGCCGCCCTGTCTCCGGCGTGGGCGCTGTCCTCCCTCCATGCTCCACCTCACCCACTGCGGGCCGCGTGTGACCAGGCCCAGGTCTCAGCGCGGCCGCCATCGCGGGGGCCATGGGGAGCTCCGCCTCCTCGCTGGCCACCGAGACCGAGTCGGACCACGGCTTCCCCGGGGGACCGCCTTACCCCGGGCCCCCTGCAGCAGCCAGCTGGTGTAGGAGCGGCCCTGGGGGGCCTGTCTGGGGTGGTGCCCTGGTCACCCGGCAGCACCAGCCCCCGCGTCCCCGGGCCCGAAGGTAAGAAGGTGGGGAGGGGGTGGCCCGAGGGGCGGGTGTGCTGTTCTGTCGGGTGGCCCCTTCCATGCTTGCAGAGATGGGGTCCTGTTTCCAAGAATCCTTGGCAGGTTGCTCTCCCCAAAGGGCCCAAGACTTGAGAGGCTCTGGGGTTCTTCTGGTCCTGGTGGAGAAAATCTGGGGCAGCAGCGCTCCCCACAAAGCCAGGTGGTGTGGGCTGTGGCCTGCCTGCAGGGCGCATGGCGCACTCAGTCGGCTGCTTGTGCCGAAGCTGCTCTGGAGCTTTGTGCTTGGGGTGGGGGTGCGGGGGAGGGCACCAGCCCCCGGCCCCTCTGTGTGCGTGGTGCCGCTGCGCTGGCAGACCTTCACGAGTCGGCTTCCTCCAACTGCGGCTGTGGCCAGGCTCCACCCGGGCTTCCCAGCCTAGCTGCCCATTGGATCAGCTGGAGAGCCTCCCCTCGGGAGTTCTGGGATGCCTGGTGTGGGGCAGCCCCCGTCTGTGCCCACTGCTCGGGTCTGGGGTGCTGGGCCCTGACGTCCCACTCCTGCCTTTAGCCGGCCCCGTGGCCTCACTGGGCAGGAGCACCCACCGCTCCGCAGACACTCAGTTCCTCCAGCCTTGGGTGGAGGCCGCGGTAATGGGCTCTCGCTGTGTCGAAGGCACCTGCCATGCTGCGCTTGGCGTCACTTCCTGTGGACACAGCTCACTTGGGGACAGTTTCCTAGTGTCTGGATGGCAGGCAGGGTCCTGATGGGTGTCCCTTCTGGAATGGCATTGGACCTGAGGCCTGAGCCCTCAGCAGATAAGGCTCCTGGGAGGTGCTGGAGGAGTTAGCAGGGCCCGTGGGGCAGCAAGAGCACGGGGGGTGTGATGGCCAGTGAGTGACCAGAGCCAGCGATGTAGGTTGTTGGGAGTTCCTTCTGCACCCTCGGTGTGGTACAGGTGATGCACTAGTGGACGTCTGTGCCTTTCTGAAACAGCTCTACTGCGATGGGACTCCGTGCTCTCATTCACTCCTCATAAGTGTGCAGCTGCGTGGCTTTGGTCTTGGTCTTTATGGAGTTGCTCACCCACATGTCCCCCAGGGCTCCCAGGGCCCCAGGGCCCCCGCCTGTTCGCCCTTCCCCAGGCAGCCACCCTGCCTCCTGCCCATAGATGTGCCTTTGCTGGAAGTGTTATATGAGTGGAATCCTATAGTGTCTGGTGTGCCTGGCCTCTTTCACGAAGCGTAATACCCTCATGGTCCATCCACGTGGTGGCGGGCGCCAGAGCTTAGTTCTTTTTATGGCCGAATAGTAAATCCCCTGTTGTAGGGATGGACCCCATCCTGTTGTGTCCATCCCTCAGGTAACGGACATTTGGTTGTTTCCTCTTGGTTTTTATGAACTGGTCTGCTGTGAGAGCATTCATGTGCAAGATTTTGTGCGGGCTTGTTTTCCCTCGGGTGGGGAAAACAGCAGGGTACGCCTGCTGACAGCTACTGGAGTCTGCCTGATTTTCTGAGAAACTGCCAGGCTGCCTTCCACAGCGGCTGCACCATGGTATCGTATTTCACCATGGTATGGGGGGCTCCCGTTCCTCCCCGTCCTGGCCAACACTTGGGACCATCTGCCTGTTTGATTCCAGACGTCCTGGTGGGTGTGGGGCGCTGTCCCCACATGGCTTGGTCTGCATCTTCCCAGGCCTTCATCTGTCCACACGCTTTTTACAAATGCCCATTTATTTCCTTAGGATAAATTGCTAGGAGTAGAATTATTGGGGCCTGGCTGGGGGCTGGCCCCCAGGGAGCAGCAGGCCAGGTATAGACCCTGCGGGGTTTGCCAGCCAGCTCCCTCCACACCGCGCCTGAGGATGCTGAGGGGCACGCGTGCATCTCACTTGGGATCCTGGCGCACACTGTCCAGCCAAGTCGAACTTTCTCATTCTCCTGGCCTCCTGCCAGGCTCCTCCCCCGAGCTGGGGTGCTGGCGGCTCCTTCCCAGTGCCCCCAGCAGCCGGCCAGACCCAGGGGCACTCAGTGTCTGCCACTGGGAGCAGCAGGTGAAGCAGGAGGAGGTGCTGCAAACGACCTTGAGGAGTTCACAGACATCCAGACTTGGGGGGGGAGCGCACGAGGCAGATGGCAGGGTGAGGGACAGAAAGGCTGGTGGCCACACACAGGCAGCCCGACGGGCCCTCCCCACGCATGGGCGCACGCAGACACATGTGGGGTGCAGTGCCACCGTCTGGAGGGGCAGCTGGGCATGGGCACGCTGACAGGCACGGGGGACCAGGAGGCACTGCGAAGAAACCAGCAGGCACAGCAGCCCCCGCCGCTCACGGAAGACCCTCCACGTCCAACATGCTGGGCCGAAACCACCCCCTTGCACTGATGAGGCTGGGGGAGCCAGGTGTGGGCGTAGTTCCCAGTAACCCACTGCTAAGCCCCGGAGCTACTCACCCTGAGCCATAAGCAGTGCATGTGGGCATCACCGCCTGCGACCCGTGGGGACACAGAAATGGGGAGCATGACTCAAGGCTGGCTGAGGGTGGCCCCAGAGGAAAGCGCCCAGACGCACCTCAGAGCCACAGGGGTCAGAGGTCAGGCCACCACAGCCATCAGGGCATCCAGACCTTTTGGCATAGCCTGCCCAGTTCTGGTGGCTTCCCCGAGGTCCTTAGGTGTGGACGCCACTTACTGCTCTCGACTGTCTGGGCAAGAGCGGCATCCCCCCAGGACTGGGTTGCACCCTGCAGTGGTGACCAGTAGCTTCCATGTTCCTGCAGACGTGTGTTCTGGGTACTAGGGAGACTTGACCCTGTGCCCCGACAACAACTCCATAGCCTCCCTTTTGAATTGGAGCAGAGTGCTGACAGTTCCCAGATCACAGAGGGCTCAGCGGGAATTTGGTGTTGGGGTTTTCTGGACAGTTGCCTCACTTTCCAGTTGACTTGGCCTTTCTTTCCATGGCAGCTGGTTCCTCCCAAGCTGCGACCCAGTCTGTGTGCTGGAGTCTGTGATGTCGTGGGGTTTGGAAGTGCTTTTCCTCGGGAGTCTGCCTTGGCTCTGGGTTCCCTATGGCATTGCTTCTGCCCAGGCTGCTTGGGTGCTCTGGCCTCTCTGAGTCTCTCCTGAGCCCTCGGCTTCTGCCCAGGCCCTGCGTCATGTTGGGGTGACCCTAGGGTTGTGGAGTCAGAGAAGGTGAGCCAAGCGAGGTGAAGGTCAGGGGCCCGTTTCAGGCTCCTCTAGTCACCCAGTCACTGGCCCTGGAGCCACTTCTCAGGCTGCCCAATGACAGTGAGGTGTGGGCTGCAGGGGTCAGAGAGGGAGCACAGCACCACCCCGCCGCCCGTCCTGGGAGCCCCTGTGCCACGGCTGCATCCCAGAAGCTTTATTCTAGCCATGGGTGCCTCTACTTGCCCTCTGTGTCCCCAGGGCAAAATTTGAGTTGTAGGCACTATTTCCATTTAAAGGTTTCTGAACCCCAGACAGAATCTTCCTGATGTGCTTTATCCACCATGAGGGCTGTGACACGTGCCCTGTCCCACCAGTGTCCCTGGGTGCTGGCCAGCACCAGGGGACACCGTGCCTCATGTTCAGCTGCACCCAGGCCATGGACCAGCCAACTGGTGGGTTCAGAGGGTAAACAGGAGTTGGGCCCCCTCCCTCCCCAGGCTGTCCTTGCTCAGTGCATCTGGGACCTCCAGAGCCCTGGAGCCAAGGGCAAGGGTGTCCTAGGAGGGCTCTCCTGCACGGGGCACAGGGGCCTGGGCCTCTTCTCTGGACACCCCTCCCATGGGCGGGTGGTCTGCAAAGTGTCAGACTAGTTCTGCTGGCCCCTGCGACTAAGCCAGGGGAGATGTGCGGGATGAGCGAGCATCCCCTGAGCCTGGAACTGGCATGGAAGCAGCTTGTGTGCACATGTGTCTGTGGGACCTTTTCTGAGTGGGGGGTGGTGTGGGGAGGGCCTGGTGGTCCCAGAAAGATTTCTTAGGCTCTCTGTAGCGCAGAAGCTGAGGCCAAAGCTGACCTGCCCTCCTCCCTGGTGCCAAGTGCCCGTGTTGAGCCCGGCCTGGCCCAACCACACCTGCTCACCCCGTGGCCCGTCTGGGCAAGGCTGTGAGAGCTCATGGGCCTCAGCCACGAAGGCTGGGAAGGTGGCTTCATGGAGTTGGCCCTGGGCCCTGGGAAATAACCCTGTTGCTCGGGGAGGTTTTTTGATTTTTTTTTTTTTTGAAGAGGTAAGTTTTCTTTCTTCCTGAACCAAAAGGGTTTGGCATCAACACGGCATCAGAAGCATAGGCTTCATGCCTTGTAAGGAACAGTTGATTTCTGTGCTGGGCGGAGCAGCTACAATCAGCAGAGGAGACTGTGTGTCCTGGTGTGTAGACACCGCCTGGTGCCCAGATTAGCCCTTGAGGAGCGGGTCAAGGGGCCAGCCCCACCCCCAGACATTGACCCGTCTCCGGCAGGAGGAGTCAGGAGCACCCCCTGCACTAGACATGTACGCACGCGCATCCCCCACAGGGCTCGCTGGCCACCTGGGGGGACCATGTCTCTGTGGCCTCACCTGGCATGTGGGGCCCATGGCCATCTCTGCAGGCCCATCCGGAGGCACAGATCTGACCTGGGACAGGCGGGGCGGGGCACGCACAGTCCCATGTTTTCGCCCTGCAGCACCCATCCTAGGAGGAGCTCAGGGTCCCCCAGGTCTGCGCATTACCAGCACTTTGGGACAGGCTGCTCAGGACCAGCTGCTAGCAGAGGGGGTCCCACCCTTTCTGCCACCTTTGACTTTGGACACCCCCCTGCCCCACCTCCCCAGTGGTCTCACTGAGCTGGGCAGCTCCCTGCTACAGCCCCACAGGGCTGCCGGGTGCAAAGCACACCTTGGGCTCGTGCTGTGGGAGAACGGGTTTGCATGTTGCTGCGGGACCAGGCAGGGTGGGCCTGCAGTGGTCTGGGTGGGCAGTGGGCAGGTGAGTGGAGAGGGCCCACCCCTCACAGTACAGCCTGTCCCTCCCTTGACCCACCTGTGCCCTGGGCTCGGCAGGAATGTGCCCGGTGGGTGGGCCTCAAGCACCGTTGGATTGCTTTTTGTGGTCAGATGCCGGCCCGGGGGTCCCCAGAAAGACCAGATAGGCAACTGTGTTAGGGGACCCACTGGCAGCCCTGAGTCAGGATGATCCCCACCCACTCATGCCCTGGCCCTCCCGTCAAGCTCTCACCTTTTCTTTTTTTTCTTTCTTTTTGAGATGAAATTCATATGACATAAAGTAACAATTTCAGAGGGCCTGACACACATTCACACTGCGCCCATCACCTCTACCCCGTCCCCAGGTGTCTACATAACCCTGTGTTCCTTATGAAGCTCTTCCCAGGCCCTGGGGACCACCAGGCTTCCCACTGCCTCTGGATCTCCTGTTGTAAAGATTTTGTGTAAATGGACTCCTGTTTTGTGTCTGGCTTCTCTCACTTAGCATGTTGTAGCCTGTATCAGAATGCCATTATTTTTTGTGGCTGAATAACATCCCACATTTCCTTTGTCTGTTTATTCGCTAATGGACATCTGAGTTGTTTCCACTGCTTGACTGTTGTGCGTAGATCTGCTCTGAGTGCGTGTGTGTTTGCTAGGGTACCAATTCTCAGTACTTTGGGGTATGTACCCAGGAGTGGAATTGCGGGGTCAGATGGTGACTCTGTTTAACTTGCTGAGGGCCTGCCAGACCATTGGCACTGAGGCAGTGCAGGGGAGGGCTCTCGTTTCTCCACGCCCTTGTGGTACCTGCTGTCCTCTGCGGTTTGGATTCTGGCCAGCCTTAGTGGGTGTGAAGTGGTATCTCTCGAGTTTGGTTTGCATTTTCCTGATGGCTGGTGATGCTGAGCATTTTTCCACGTGCTTCCATGGCCACTTGTGTGTCCTCTGGAGAAATGATTGCTCCAGCCCTTTGCCCATTTTTTTACAAGGGTTTTTGTTGTTGTTCAGTTATAAGAGTTCTTTATATTTTCTGGGTACAAGACTCTTATTGGACATGATTTGTAAATATTTTCTCTTATGAGTTATCATTTTTTCATCTGTGCCCTTTGAAGCACGGAAGTTACTCATTTTGATGAAGTCTAGTTTTTTTCCTTTATTTGCTTGTGCTTTTAGTGTCACATCTAATAATCCGTTGTCAAATTCAAGGTCACAAAAAATTTTTTTTAAGATTTTAGTTTGAGAGAGAGAGCACGCACGAGCAGGGGGTGGGCAGAGGCACAGGGAGGAGAGAATCTTAAGCAGGCTTCCCGCTGAGCAGGGAGCCCAATGAGGGGCTCGATCCCAGGACCCTGGGACCATGACCTGAGTTGAAGGCAGACGCTTCACCAACTGAGCCACCCAGCCAACCCCAGAATTTTTCTTTTAAAGATTTCATTTTCAAGTAATTTCCACACCCAAAGTGGGACCCGAACTCATGACTCCAAGATCAAGACTTGCATGCTCCCCCGACTGACCCAGCCAGGTGCCCCTTGAGGTCACAGAATTTACTTAGGTTTTTTTCCTAAGAGTTTTATAGTTTTCATTTCTACATTTAGGTTACTGATCCATTCTGAGTTAATTTTTGAATATGGTGTGAGGTAAGGGCCCAACTTTATTCCTTAGTGCTTTAGGTCCTGCATTCCCAGCACCATCTGTTGAAGAGACTGCCCTTTCCCCACAGAGTGGTCTTGGCACCATTGCCTAAAATGATTTGACCAAAGGTGCCTGGCTGGCTCAATCAGTAGAATGTGAGAATCTTAATCTTGGGAGTTGTGAGTTCGAGCCCTATGTTGGGCATGGAACCTACTTAAAAGAAAAAAATAAAAAATAAAACGACCATATGTGAGGGTGTATTTCCGGGCTCTTCAGTTCTGTCCTACTGGCCACAGACCATAGGCAGACTTACAGTCTGTCCTTGTGCCGGTACCACCTATCTTGATTTTCCCTCTTTTGAGATTGTTTTGACTACTTGGAGGAGGGGGGGAGGGTCCTTGCAGTTTGATATGAATTTCAGAATCCGGTTTTTCCATTCCTGGGGGGGGGGGAATTGGGATTTTGATGGGGATTGCATTGCACCTGTGAATTTGTAGGTCACTTGGGTGTCTGTCATCTCAGCTGTATTAAGTCTTCACTCTGTGAGCACAGGGTGTCTGTCTGTTCATTGAGGTCTTCTGTGATTTCTTTGAGTCATGTTCTGTAGTGTGCAGAGTACGAGTGTTCTTCTCCTTTTTAAAATGTATCCCTAGGTATTACATTGTTTTAGATGAAGTGATACTGTTCTAACTTACCTTCTCTGGGCTGTTCGGCTGTTCGTTGCTGGCGTAGAAACACAGCTCATGGTTTTGTGTCAGTCTCATGCCCTAAGATGTCCCTGGATTCATTTATTAGCTCTAGTAGTTTTTTTGGTGGCTTCTTGGGACTTCTATGTGTAGGATCATGCCGTCTGCAAACAGAGGTAGCTTTACTTCTTCCTTTCCCAACTGGATGCCTTTTATCCCTTTTTCCTGCCTAATTGCTCTGGCTGGGACGCTGGTACAGTGCTGACCGGCAGTGCTGAGCTCCTGGTCTTGGGAGGGAAGCATGCAGTGTGTCACCGCTGGGTGTAATGTTTGCTGTGGGTTTTTGAGGATGCCCTTTACCCTGTCGAGGAAGTTCACTTGTACTCTTTCCTGGAACTGATCAAAGACTGCCTCCCCAGCAGGGCCCCGTGGCCACTAGGATGGTGTGGCTCTGCCCCATGTCTCTGTCCCCACAGGTCCACCCCTCCAGAAGGGGTCTGATGACACACCTGTGAGGTCCCTTGGGGGCCCCTAACTCCTCAGAGTCCTCGAGCCCCTCACAGGCTGCCCTCTTGGGCCTGATGTCTGTCAGAGCGAGAAAGCAAAGATCCTGTGGCCCCTTGTCCCAGATGGAGACGTGGGCGCTTGTCCTTGGGCCTGCACTAATCGGGACCTTCCCTTGCAGCCACACACACTCGCCTGGGTCCATGGCCACGGTTGGGGAGTGGTCCTGTGCACGCTGCACCTTCCTGAACCCAGCCGGCCAGCGCCAGTGCTCCATCTGTGAGGCCCCCCGGCACAAGCCTGACCTCGACCACATCCTCAGGCTCAGTGTGGAGGAGCAGAAATGGCCCTGCGCCCGCTGCACGTTCCGGAACTTCCTGGGCAAGGAGACTTGTGAGGTGTGTGGCTTTGCCCCAGAGCCTGTGCCTGGCGCCTCCGTGCTGCCTGTCATCAACGGGGTCCTGGCGGAGCCCAGGGCCAGCTGCAAGGAGGAAGCCGGTCCCGTGCAGACAGCGGGGCTGGCGTCCGCAGAGCCGGCTCGGGGGCGGCCCCAGGAGGAGGCGGAGGAGGAGGACGCGGAGCCGGAGCAGGGGGAGGAAGGGCGGGCAGCAGAGCCCGGGAGCGGCTGGGCCTGCCAGCGCTGCACGCTGCACAACACACCTGTGGCCAACTCCTGCTCGGCCTGTGGTGGCCCCCGGAAACTCTCGCTGCCCAGAATCCCTCCTGAGGCCCTGGTGGTCCCCGAAGTTGTGGCCCCCGCTGGCTTCCACGTTATACCTGCCCCAGCCCAGCCCGGGGAGGGCACCGAAGCTGACCCACCCTCTGCCACCGACCAGGAGCCCCCCCGGGCACCATCTTTCAGCCCCTTCTCGCCCACCCTGCAGAACAACCCGGTGCCTCGTAGCCGCCGCGAGGTCCCCCCCCAGCTGCAGCCACTGGTGCCTGAGGCTACCCAGCCTTCACCGTCTGCCGGCTCCAAGGGGCTCCCCCAGGGCCCAGGGCGGACTGCAGCCGGGGCCTCCCGCCTGGCAGAGCTGCTGTCCAGCAAGCGGCTGAGCATGCTGGAGGAGGAGGCCACCGAGGGCAGCCCGGCACCGCAGCGGTGCGGCTCCTGCCCCGCGCCCGGCCCCTCGAGCCCTGCCCGCTGTGAGGCCTGTGGTGCTGCACCGAGCAGCGATGTCATCGACCTGGCTGGGGACACAGTGCGCTTCAAGCCAGCCAGCCCCTCCAGCCCTGACTTCACCACCTGGTCGTGCGCCAAGTGCACGCTCAAGAACCCCACAGCGGCCCCCAGATGCACGGCGTGCGGCTGCTCCAAGCTGCATGGCTTCCAGGAGCATGGTGAGCCCCCTGCCCGCTGCCCAGACTGCAGCGCCGATAAGTCTGGTCCCTGCTCGGCCCACAAGGCCAGCTGCCCCTTCCCCGGGGTGCCGCCCGAGCGCCCGAGCCAGTGGGCCTGCCCTGCCTGCACTCTGCTCAACGCACCCCGGGCCAAGCACTGTGCTGCCTGTCACACGCCCCAGCTCCTGGTGGCCCAGCGCCGGGGCGTCGCGCCCCTGAGGCGCAGGGAGAGCATGCACGTGGAGAAGCGGCGGCAGACAGACGAGGGTGAGGCCAAGGCCCTCTGGGAAAACATCGTGGCCTTCTGCCGGGAGGTGAGCGCCCTCAGGACGGTGTCCACGCTCCGGGGCTGGCTCTCCCCTTCCCGTGGGCCTCTTCTCTTTGTGCTTCCCCTATCCCCCAGTCAAGGCATTCGCACCTTCTGTCCTTCCCTGGTGTCCCTTCTCTGGCCAGGGAGAGGGAGGAACCGCTTCCCCAGGCTCTGAGCACTGGCCTGGTCCCTATCCCCTGCATCTTGCCCCTTCTTCCTCTTTACCCACGGGGGTCCATGACCCCATGGTCTGTGCTCCTGACCCTTCTTGGGGGTGATTTCCCATCGATGGTGAAGCCACAGGGAAGTGGGGATGCAGGTGGAGGCTTCAGGCCAGTAGGTGGGCCCGGTGCTTCCTCTGGCCATGGAGACCCTGCTGAAACATGATTGGGACAGTCCCTCACCCTCTTCTGCCCTTGGAGGTGTGGGAGGCCTGAGTCCAGGGCAGCATTACTGCCAGAGTCAGTTGGAGGGGCTTTCTGGGGGCTTGTGTCCTGGCTGCCGCATCCCAGCCAAGTCCCCACTTCTCTTACGGGGGCATTCAGCACGGCACGGGGAGCCACCAGGTTCCCTGCACGGCATGCCTACCACCCCAGTGGCCCCCAGGCTGGGAGCTGCGGTGTGTCCCAGAGGCGTGCGCTGTCCTGGTTGGCCGCGGTCCCCCATGCCTACGTGGGGTGGCGTGGCTCACTCGAGCCGGGGCCAAGCCTTCCACACCGGTCCAGGAGGCTGCCCACCCCCACCCTCATTCTTGTGGAGCCTTTTCTGGGTGTTCTCCTGGGTGGTGGGTCTGGCCTCAGCTGGGTGGAGCCTGAGTGTGAGGCCATGGCCCCTGCAGAACAGCGTGAACTTCGTGGACGACAGCTTCCCCCCGGGGCCTGAGTCGGTGGGCTTCCCTGCGGGTGACAGCGTCCAGCAGCGTGTGCGGCAGTGGCTGAGGCCCCACGAGATCAACTGCTCCGTGTCCAGGGACCCCAGTGCCCCATGGTCCGTGTTCCGCACTCTCCGGCCCTCGGACATCCTGCAGGGGCTGCTGGGAAACTGCTGGTGAGCTGGACGCCCGCTGAGGGGCCGTGCGGCGGGCCGTGTGGTGGTGCTCACCGTCCGGCCCCGGCTCCGTGCAGGTTCCTGAGCGCGCTGGCTGTGCTGGCCGAGCGGCCCGACCTGGTGGAGCGGGTGATGGTGACACGCAGCCTATGTGCCGAGGGCGCCTACCAGGTGCGGCTCTGCAAGGACGGCACGTGGACGACAGTGCTGGTGGACGACACACTGCCCTGTGACGAGGCCGGCTTCCTCCTCTTCTCCCAGGTTGGGGGGGCGGGCGCGGGGCGGGCACCCGGGTGCTGGCCAGCCTCAGGCCTCGCGACTCCGGCCCTTCCCATAGGCCCAGCGGAAGCAGCTGTGGGTGGCCCTCATCGAGAAGGCGCTGGCCAAGCTGCACGGCTCCTACTTCGCCCTCCAGGCAGGGCGCGCCATCGAAGGCCTGGCCACGCTCACCGGTGCTCCCTGTGAGAGCCTGGCGCTGCAGGTCAGCTCCACTAACCCCCGCGAGGAGCCCGTTGACACTGACCTCATCTGGGCCAAAATGCTGAGTTCTAAGGAGGCTGGGTAAGAGGGGCGGGCGCTGTGGCGGTCAGCGGCGTTGGGAGGAGCGGCGAGATGAGGGGACAGCCAGGCCGGGGCTTGGCACGGTGGGATGAGCAGGGCGCGTGCCCTCTGACCCACACCCTGTGTCCCCACTGTTGCCAGCATCCCCCTTGCCGGGCCGGTGGTCCCGCCTGCTCGGGTGGTGGGGGGGAGCAGGCAGGAGGCGGCTGCCCGTTGGCCTGTCCCTGCACCCCATGCCTACCACCCCGGGTGGAGCCTGTGATGAGCCTCATCCGGAGCTGGGCCTGTGATGACCATCAGCGCCCGCTCGGAGCCGCATGGAGAGAGCCCCACAGAGGCACCTGCTGGGGAGTGGGGTTTGCCTTCCAGGACCTGGCACACACGGGCCAGTGTGTCTGTGGGAAGGGCCCAGAACCTTAAGCCTGGGAGAGATGGCTCCTTAGTGGCAAGACCTTGTGCTTTCAGCTGGTACTGGGCAGTGTCGCCACTCTCAGAGAGCCACAGCCCTGAGCTGGCAGGGCCAGCCAGCCTCAGGAGGGTTCCAAGGGACGGGGCCCGCCTGACCCCCACCCAGCCCAAGGCCTCTGAGCTTCGGGACCTCAGTGGAGGGACTGGGCCAGCACTTCCTGAGTCCCATGTGTCTCACGTGGGTCCCCACAGACAGGGAGGGGCCCCCTACCTTCCACTCCCCCCCCACTCCCCACCTCCCATCCCCCCACCCGCTGGGGGGCAGGGCCAGCAGAGGCTCCTGGTTACTAAGGGGCCCCCAGTCAGGGAGCCTTCCTGGTCACTGAGGCTGCTGTGCCCACACAGGTTCCTCATGGGTGCCTCCTGTGGGGGGGGCAACATGAAGGTGGACGATGCTGCCTACGAGAGCCTGGGCCTGCGTCCCCGCCACGCCTACTCCATCCTGGATGTCCGAGATGTCCAGGGCTCCAGGTAGGGACCGGGTGGGTGTGTGGTGGGGGCAGTGGCAGGTGTGGCCGTGGCCCTCAGCCCTGTGGTCCGCAGGCTCCTGCGTCTCCGGAACCCATGGGGCCGCTTCTCCTGGAATGGCAGTTGGTCAGATGAGTGGCCGCACTGGCCAGGGCACCTGCGCAGCGAGCTCATGCCCCATGGCAGCAGCGAGGGTGTCTTCTGGATGGAGTATAGCGACTTCATCAGGTACCTAGACACTGCAGGCAGCGGGTGTGGAGGGTCTGCCCCGTGGCCATCCCTGTGCTCCAGCCACCTTTGCCCTGGCTGCCTCCCCTTGTCCCAGCGTGCAGAGTCCTGCCCTGGGGAGCCCGCTTGTACCTCTCCGAATTCAGCTCAGCACAGGGTGGGTGGGTATGCGGGGCTTGGACCACCAGGGCTCAGCCCTCCCGGATCAGGCCTGGGACCCGGTGCCCCCTTGTGGTGTCCATGGGCAACAGCCGGGACCAGGGCTTCCCAGACACTGGTCCCAGGAGATGCCGAAGGTGGCCTGGGACAGGGACTGGAGAGGGCACAGGAAGTGCCTGTACCTGAGCTGGGATGAAAGCTGCCCTGTGCGGCTGCCCTCTCGCTCACTAGGTACTTCGACTCGGTGGACATCTGCAAGGTGCACTCGGACTGGCAGGAGGCGCGTGTGCAGGGCTGCTTTCCCAGCTCTGCCAGTGGGCCCGTGGGGGTCACTGCTCTCACGGTGCTGGAGCGCGCGTCCTTGGAGTTCGCCCTCTTCCAGGAGGGCAGCAGGTGGGCGGTGACGGGCGCGGGGCGGGGAGCTGGGGGGTGCTGCTGGGGGCGGGGCGGTGAGCTGCAGGGGCGGGGCCGCGCTGGGGGTGGGGGCAGGATGGTAAGCTGCGGGGCGGGGTCGCGGGGGCGGGGCCGCAGGGGTCGGTGGCGGGGGCGGGATGGTGAGCTGTGGGGCGGGCTGGGGGTGGGGAGGAGCCGATGGTGGAGGGCGGTGAGCTGCGCAGCGGGGCGCGGTCGCATGGGAACCCGGATGGTGTCAGGCGGTGAGCTCTAGGGGGCCGGGCCGTGCGGGCCCCGCACCTACGCTGACCGCTGCGGTGCGTCCGGCCACAGGCGCGCAGACTCGGTGGACAGCCACCTCCTGGACCTGTGCGTCCTGGTGTTCCGCGCGTCCTTCGGCAGCGGTGGCCGCCTGAGCCTGGGCCGCCTGCTAGCCCACAGCAAGCGCGCCGTCAAGAAGTTCGTGAACTGCGACGTGATGCTGGAGCCCGGCGAGTACGCCGTGGTGTGCTGTGCCTTCAACCACTGGAGCCCCGCCGCGCCGGGCCCGCCGGCCAACATGCAGGGTAACCGCGCACCCGCACCTGCACTCCCCGCCCCGCTCGCACGGAGGTCTGCTCGTGCCCCCCACTCACACGCCTGCCCCCTGCTCCCCCCCGCAGCCTCCAGCCCCTCGGCGGGGGTCCCGCGCTGCACCCCGCAGCCGCCCGGCCACGTGCTGGCCGTGTACAGCTCGAGGCTGGTCATGGTGGAGCCCGTGGAGGCCCAGCCGACCACGCTGGCCGACGCCATCATTCTGCTCACCGAGAGCCGGGGCGAGCGGCACGAGGTGGGCCGGCCGGCAGGGTCCTGGGGGAGGGGGACGCGGAAGGAACCCCCGCCCCAGCCCATTCCTGCACTCTGTGTGGCCAGGGACGCGAGGGCATGACCTGCTACTACCTGACGCATGGCTGGGCGGGGCTCATCGTGGTGGTGGAGAACCGGCACCCCAAGTCCTACCTGCACGTGCAGTGTGACTGTTCTGACAGCTTCAACGTGGTGTCCACGCGTGGCAGCCTGCGCACCCAGGACAGCGTGCCCCCCCTGCACAGGTGGGCCCCGCCCCTGCCCCGCCTGCTCCCCCCCACTTCACTTCCACTGGCCCTCACCGGCCCCCTCCCCCAGGCAGGTCCTGGTGATCCTGTCCCAGCTGGAGGGCAACGCGGGCTTCTCCATCACCCATCGCCTGGCGCACCGCAAGGCTGCCCAGGCCTTCCTCAGTGACTGGACAGCCTCCAGGGGCACCCACAGCCCCCCTCTCACGCCCGAAGTCGCTGGCCTGCATGGCCCCCGGCCTCTGTGACCACTCCACCTTCCCAGCCCCCACGCGCACTTTATGAGGGAGACCCCAGCAGAGGACGCTTGAATCAGAATCTCAGGACCCTGCCCAGGGAGCCACCAGCTGCAGTAGCTCCCCCTAGGCCTTCCTCCCTGCCCCTCCCTCCTGCCCTGGGCCTCCCCGCTGCCAAGCAGAATACCTCGAACCCGCCTCTAGCGCCAGGGGCCTGTATGCTAGCCCCTCTGACCGACCCTCTCAAGGTTGGGTTCAGATGGCCAGGGCCAAGGTGAGGCTTCTCTTTCCTTAGGGGCTGGGGCCTCCTGCCTGGCTGAGGCAGCCAAGAGCCCTGCTCCTAGAACCACAACTGGGCAGGTCAAGGCCAGGACCCCAGAGTGAGAGCAGGGATCTCTCCCTTGTAGGGGTCAGGCTGGGACTCCAGGGTGAAGAGCAACATCTCCTCTATGATGATCAGAGGCTAGAACCCCTCAGTGAGCAGGGACCACCCCCATCTGTGGGGGTCAGAGGCTGGGATCCCAGGATGAGAGCAGGGACCACCCCCGTCTGTGGGGGTCAGAGGCTGGGATCCTAGGATGAGAGCAGGGACCACCTCCTTGGGGGACATGAGAGGAGGAGCCTTCTGTCCCTGGCTTGCCCCCAGAGCACATTTCCCCGGCCCCCACAAGGCAAGCAGGGGTCCCTGGAGCCCCAGCAGTGTGTCCCAGGAGGCAGGTGCCTGGCGACCGTGGGCTCAGGGCCGGGGATGGGGGAGGTCCCAGCGGCCCCTCTGGCGACACTATGCAATTCCTGGAGCGCGTCTCAGGATCGAAGAAGCCATGCCCAGGGGCTGGAGGCCAGGGGCTGAGGGTCAGGCCCACCCTGCGGTTTGGTGAGGTGGTTTGTCCTCAGCACCACCTGATCTCTGCCAGGACAAGCAGGGTCCGGCAGCAATCCTGGACCTCCCTGTCTAGGCAGAGGTAGGGCCCAGCAGCCCCTCCCAGCTCCTCCCCCACCTCAGAAGCCCAGGGAGCTGAGCGGTCACCTGGCAACCTGGCCATCCTCCCTTGAGGCTGCTGTCAGGCCAGAGTCCTGCGTCTGCCCTCGGACATCTGAGGCCAGCTTCCTGGGGGCCTGCCTGGCCTCAGTGTCCTGCAGCCCCCAGGCCATGGGCAGCCCTATGGGGCTTGGCGGCCTTTTACACCTGGAGAAACATCGGGAAGCACGCCACTCCCCTTTGGGCCTCCTTTATATTCCCTCCTTTTACTCTGAGCTGTGAATATTTTTAACCCTGTATATATGACCAGCTCTTCTGACACAGAGACTATTTTATCACTTGTCAGTCCCCATCCCTGTAGGATGGTTCTCCATGGGTGTTTCCAGACTCAGGCTCCAATGGACCAAATAAAAATGTTTTGTTTTGTAAGGGTGCCTCCAGGTCTGTCTGCTGCCCCTCCCAGGGTCCCTGGGCTCCCGCGCCCCCTCCACAGGCCGGGGCTGTGCTGAGGGGCATCCGAGCCTGACCCCGGGGCGGGGGGAGGGCAGCACCTCAGTGGGTGTGGCTCGCCAGCGCCCCAGGTCAGGCTCACAAGGAGCCTTTAGGGGCGCCCTGCTTGCCGCTTGTGTGCGCCCTTGAAGGACTGGGTGTCTGGGTGGGGCAGAGGCTCGGGTCAGACCACGCAGTGGTCAGCAGACTGGTCCCCACGCAGGCAGAAGAACAGCAGGTGCACCGTTGCTCCTTGTGTGACATCTGCTCTCAGGGGTGGGGGGGGCTGTCTGAATCTGTAAGGGTCATTAGGCGGGAGCAGATGGAGTGAGGGGGCTGCACAGGGAGAAAAGTTTCCATCCAGGCTGGTGGCTGTCCACTCCTCCTTGGCCCCAGCCGGCCAGCCCGCGTCCCCACCATCCCCGTCTCGCGGGGGGTCAGGCTGGGGCAGGCTCCCCGGCCGCGGCGTGCACAGCGGGGGCTGCCGCCCGCCCCCGCAACGGAGGCACGGCGTCGGGGGGCCGCAGAGGCCGGTGGTTGGGCGGGTATAAGAGGCCTGTCACAGGCCAACCTATCGAATGTGAAAGCAATTAAAGGCACCAGCAGTGTGCGCTCCGGGCGGGCCTCAGGCAGCAGGATAGCTGCCACAGCACATCTCACGGGCGCCCTGCGCTGGCCACGCTGCGCCTCGTCCCGTGGGGGGGCCGGGATGCATCCACCTGGAGTTGGCACGGGGCTGGCCCTGGCGCCCCTGGGGCGTCCTGGCAGCCTGGACCCACGACCCTCCCGGGGAAGGCTCAGGAAGCAAGATGTGGGAACAGCAGCTTCCCGCGGTCCTTGTGCCAGGCCAGGCGGGGGTCTCCGCTGGGAGCAGGGGGCCGTGTGCCCACCCCCTCCCTTGGAACCCTCGCATGCAGGGGAGGAGGCTGGGACGAGGGGCCAGGTGTCCCCGGCCCCAAAGGGCACACAGTGTCCGAGGAGGAGTTGGGGGACCCCATAGACCAGACCCTTAGTTATGACCTGGGAGCTCATGGAGGGTGCTGGCAAGGGGCCGAGGTGGGAGCTTGCCCTGGGTCAGGGGGCCCCTGGGGAGGCGGCTGGTGGTGTGGAGAGAGGATGGGGGACTGGCCAGCCTGGCCGGGGCAGGGATCTTACCTGCCAAGCCCTTGGCCCTGACTGGCGGCACCTGGCTCCCAGGGCTGCCAAAATGGGGAGCAGGCACAAGGCCAGGGGCTGTCCCCCTCCTCACTGGTGGGCCCCCGCTCCCCACCTCAGCCTGCTAGGTCTCCCGCCTTCTGGCCACTGGGGCTCCTGGTCCTGGGCCCTTCTGCCCCTCTCTGCCTGCTGGCTTGGCCCCGTGCCGCCCACGGCCCTCTCTCCCGGCCTCTTGTCCAGGCCGCCTCCCTGCCCACTCGGCCACGGCGGCCTTCTCCAGGCGGGCGACGGTGTGTTCTCACTTGTGAGGCGTCCCTGTCAGAAGCACTTAGTGTACAAATTAGCCGAGGCCTCCTGCCTCCCTCCGCAAGGCTGTGGGCGCTGGGCTGACAGGGCCGAGGCTCCGGGCACTCTCCCGCCCGCCCCCGGCGCCCACACAGCCCGCGTGCACCCCTGGCTGCCCGCCCATGACCGAGCAGGAAGGCTGTTCCTCGCCAGCCAACAAGGGCTCTTCTCAGGGCCCCCGACCTTGACCTGGCCCCGGGGGGTGGGGGCGTGGGGGTTTGGTGACTACAACAGGGCAGAGCGTCCGGCAAGAGGCCGGGGGTCCTGAGCTCCAGGCCCGGCGCCTGGCTTTGCCCCAGAGCTGCAGTCCGGTGTTGCGAGCTTTGGGGGACCTGGAGCCGGCTCGGCAGCCCCCACCTGCCCCGCCCGTTGGCTGGCCTGCCACTCAGGCAGGGAAAATCGTGTGTGACAGGCCCAGGAAGGCCGGGCCCCGGGGGCCGTGGAGCAACGCACACAGCTTCTCTCCCAACATATGGCTGCTGTCGGCCCCAGGCGCTGCCCAGCCAACGCGGGCTTGCAAGCGGGTGGGGGTTCAGGCGGCCTGAGCCTCTCATCCCATCAGTCTGGCCACACTGCTCCCTCCGTGAGTCGAAAGGCCCCTGCCCCGGTTCGCATGCCTCCCATGACAGGGAGCTCACTCCTGCTGCACGCAGCCCTTCCCTGTCCCTCCAGGGAGCGGCCTGAGGCACACAGAGGGTCACCCCACACCCCACCCCAGGGTGGCCAAGGACCTAACATGTCCGGGGACCGAGCTGCGGGAGGGGCTGCGGGGGCCTCCAGAACGAGTAGCTTGCAGCTGGTGGGGGAGGGCGCAGCAAAGCTCGCGTGGGCAGTGTCATCATCCGCAGGCCCAGGGGAGCTGGGGCCAGAGGGCTTCTCCTGGGGTCCCCCGGTGCGAGGAGCTTCCCAGCTGGGCTTCCTCCCTCGGGGTGGGCCTGCTCCGCCCCACGTCCCTGGGCCTGTTTGGGCAGCCCCCTCACAGATTCCCTGAGAATCCCCCAGGCTCTGCATGGGCCCTGCCCTCACCTGCAGCGGGGACCCACAAACCTGCTCACATCCCTGCCCATCCCTGGCTCCACAGCTTCCCGCACAAGCCCGCCAGGAATCTCCCGTGACCCCACAGTGCTTGTGGGGTCAGCAGCCTCAGGCTGGCATCCAGGACCCTCAGGTGGGACCCTGCCTCCTTTGGCCCAAGCCCTGGGCCCAGCCCTCCAAGCCAGGAGTCCCTGAGGCCACCTCGAAGAGACAAGGAGAAGAAGTACCCAGGATGACCCATGTTCTGGGCCCAGGGGTCTCCTGCACGGTGCTCACCTCTCCCAGGGGCTCCTAGACTCCGCCTGGGGCCCCAGCCCCTCCCAGCGTCTGCCCGGCTGCTGTACCTGTCCTGGTGAGGGCTGTGTGTGGACACTGAGGAGGTGAGACAGGCCTGCTGGGGGCCCCGCTCACTGCCCCCTGCCTTCCCCGGCCGCGCATCCATCCTGACCACTCGCCCCTGCACGCGTATACCAGCATTAATGGAGGTGACAGGCGGACTGCCGTGGGCAAGCCAGGCAGAGGGGGTTAATGGCCAAAATGAGGCTCTGGCTGGGGTCAGAGGGAGGGGCCGGGGATCCCCACTGCACCCTGCACCAGGACCAACTGAGGAGGAGGCTCCCCAGAACCCCACTGGTGCCTGAAGCACCCAGAGACCAAGTCTCCTACCCGCCTCTGCCCATGAGGGGAACAAGGCAGGGGTCTCAGAGCTCAGAGCCACACGGCTGATCAAGCCCCAAAGCCAAGTGGGTCCCTGTCCTGCTTCAGGGGGCAGGGGCCAACTCTCCAGGCCCAAGCTCCCCCCAACATGTATGGGGTGGGTCCCAGTGGGAGCGTTATGACCCGCCCCCACCCCCACTCCTGAGTGAGAAGATGTGCCAGCGATGAGGGAGCAGATGGGCCTTGGGCAGAGGGCACAGGGGTGCAAGGGGCTGGCATCGATGTCCCAGCCTTGCCTGGCCACAGGTGCTGGGGACAGTCACCTGTGCCCCTGGGGGGCTGGCCCGGCTCACAATCCCATGCAAAGGCCATTGGGTTGTAGCCACCCAGCTGGGCGCTCGGGTCCACCCCTGCACAGAGCCCTCCTGGAAGCCCAGAAGCGCGCGCAGGTCACGCCCCTAGGTGCTGAGTCCCTCTGGAGGTGCCGCCACCTCTCCTCTTCCTCAAACTCCTGGAAAAGCCCATGCATGGGGTGGCCTCCATGGCTGGTGCTGAAGCACGTCCTCCCGGGGGCTCTTCTTGTTTGTCCTGCCACCTGGAGTCCCGGCTTCCTCCCTGCTTTCTGGGGCTCACGTGGGCTTCACTGGCTGTCCTCTCTGCACTCCGAAAGGCAGGGTTCCCAGCAACGAGGACTTTCTGGTCCATCACCTTCCTTCCCCTGAACGATGGCAACAGCCTCCAGTGAGTCCGTACCCTGTGTAGGCAGCTGTGGCCCCTCCCAGACCCTCGGAGGGCTCAGCCGGAGGGATGTGGGGAAGCAAGGAGCCATCCCTGGGACCAAGAGGCCAAGGCCTGGGATCCAGGGGTCCCCGGATCCCACGCCGTCTCCGGGTGGCCTGTGCCCTTGCCCCCTCTGGACCGGGCCCGTCATGAGGGACCCAGGCCTGGCTCAGCACATCCAGGGGCCTGTGTGCAGAAGGAACAGGCCTCCTGGCCTCTACTCTCCACAGGGCTGCTGGCGTGACGGCCGTTCAAGCTGTCTCCCAGCCTGGGGCTGCCTGCACGGTCAGCTGGTCAGCTGGGCCAGGCCAGGCGAGCAGAGAGAAGGCTGGCGTGCTCTGCCACCCAGCCCCCAGCCCTAGCCTTTGCACTTGAGGAGGAGAGGCGAATCCCTTCGGGTGGTGTCAGGGAAGGTGGCACTGGGCCAAGAAGGAGACACTCGCTCTCCAACCGGCATCTTCACCCTGGGCACCCCCAGAACCCCAGGGTCCTGTTCCTTATGGATGCCTGTCACAGTCGAGCAGAGCCCCAGGAGACCCAAACCAACAACTGAGCCACGGGCTGGTCACCCTCCTGCACAGATGGAGAAACTGAGGCCAGGTTCACGGGGCCCAGGAGGTGCTGGACTCTGGATCCAGGGCTCTATGTTGGCTGCCCCGCTTGAGGTGCAACACTCAGGGACCTCTAGAGGATACTCCTTCCTTCCCCTCCTTCCTTCCCCAAGTTACCCCTGCCCCCCAAATTTAGTGGAGAATACCCCGGAAGCCTGGAGCTGAGCCTGCAAGGGGGGGGCAGTGAAGGAGATCCTCCACAGAGCTGGCCTGGAGCAGCACCCACCCCTCAGGCTGCAGACCCCATCCTGTGCCTGAAATGGTACCATCACACATCTCTGGGTTCAGATGCCTTCCCCCCAAACAAAGCAAGACTCCCTGAGAGAGACAGAGTCTGGCCCTGCCCCAGCATGTCTGTGTTCACGTCTGGAATAGAACTTGCCGGTCAGATGAATTTCTACTAGGACCTAGCTGAGAAGTGGGACCCTGACCATGAGGTTTTGGCAGCTCGGGGAGCAACATGGAATTTGGCATACTTTGGGAGGTGGGCTGGAAACAGGTCTGGCCATGAGGACATTAGCGGCAGGGGTTTTATGGAGGGTCCTGGACACCCAAGTCTTTCCCTGCCCCCCCGCCCCTCCCCCCTCCCAGGTCCTCCCAGGGGAGACGCAGAGCTGTCCTGCAAACAGCAGAGAGATGCAGGGCCTGGGCACCTGTCAGGGTGGGGAGGTAGTGTTTCCAGAAAGGGGGAAGTGAGCCCATGGTGACCATCCTTTCCTGAGCCGGGACCCATCGGTGGGCAGGGCAGGGCTTCAGTGAGTGTAGGTCCATTCAGCCTTCTGTTTGGAGAAGAGGAAACGGCCCTGGAGTCAAAGCTTGGCGGAGGAGAGCTGGTGAGGGGAGGAGATTTGCTGTCTGTGCACTGGGCTCTGCCGGCGGGCTCCAGGCTCCAGCCCTCCTGGGGCTCTGTCTCTTGGCTGGTCTGGGCTCTTGCCCCATCCCAGGCTGGGCTGCAGCCGTCCCCAGGCTGGCTGTGTGCCCCACAGCTCCCCTTGTCCCAGGGCTCAGCCCCCAGGCCTTGGCTCAGGAGGGCGGCTGTCAGGGGCCAGAGCCCTGCCCTGACGGATGAGTGCTGACGGCGCCTCTCCCTGCGACCTCGGCCGCTGACACCCCGTCACACCGCTGCGGGGACCCCGGGAGACCTGGCCGCCGCTCCGCACCCCCGCAGCAGCCTGCAGGCGACGGGGGCGGGGACGGTGCCAGGCGCCCCTCATTTGGCCGCACACCTGCGCCTCCACTCCCCGCGTCCACACCGCAACCCGCCCGTCCCTGCCGCTCGGGCGCTACCACCGGTCTCACCGGCCACCGTTCCACCCAGGAGGTGCTGGCGCTGCGGAGAGGGCTGAGCAAGCGGGTCCTGGCGCGCGAGGTGAGTGCGCGCGAGGGGGCGGCTCTGGGCGGGGGGCACCTGGGGTGCCCCCGGGGAGACCAATTCCCGCGCTGGCGAGTCCCCTCCCTCCGTAAGCCCGGGTCGGAGGTCGCAGCGCCCCCGAGCCCCAGCGCGCCGTGGCGCACGCGCGGCGGTCCCGCCGCCAACTTCGGTGGGTGCGAGTCGGCGTCGGGGGGACACGCGCGGTCGGCGGCGGAGGCTTCGGGACCGACTGCCGAGTGAGTGACCGCAGACCGCTCGGGGGGCCGCTCCCAGCGCCGGGCCTCAGTTTCCCCTGCGGGAGTCCCTGTCGCTGCCCCGAGGGCCCGAGCCGGTCCCGCGGGGTCCGGGATCGCGGCTGGCACCGGGCGGTGCTGAGAAGGGAAGTTTCCGCCGCGTCCTCGGGGCCTCGCGCAGACTTCGCCGGGCGCCTCGGGCTCCGATCCGGCCGGCGCGCAGGTGGGGCGGGCGGGCGCTGGCGGCGGCGCGGCCAGCGAAGTTTGGGGGGGGCCGTGCGGGGCCGGGGTGGGCTCGAGGGGCGCGGGGGCGACGAGACTCCAGGAGTGTCCAGGCGCGGGTGGGGCAGCTCCAGCCCCCATGTCCCCCACTTCTGCGCACGGGGACCCCCCTGGGCACAGCAGCCCTGTCCCTGTAATAGGGCGCCATCCCTCCCGGGGTGCGGTGCGCGGCGGAGGGGGAGGGAGTTGGGGTCTCGACCTCAGCCAAGGAGGAGCCTGGTCACCCCTCTCTACCAAGCCCTGTGGGGCACTGGCCAAGTCTCAGGTGGTCAGGGGGTATGGGAGGGCTCCAATCCCCCTGCTGGTGGCTCCAGGCGCTGGGTGCCTTCTCTCCCACCCTGGAGTGGGGCCTCCTTCTCCTGTCTGGACACCAGTACTCTCCCAGACAGGGAAAGGTTAGCGGGCTCAGGTGTGTGGGCCAGCACACTGGGGGTGCAGGCTGCCCTAGGAGCACGCACCCAGTCACGCGTTGGGACATGTGTGCAAATGAATGTGCTTTGGGGTGTGTGGGGGTGCATGCTGGTGTCTAGGGGCATCCTCTGCTTGTGCACAAGCATGCTGGGTGGGTGCCAGGCATCCTCTGGGTCCCCGTGGGGTCAGTGGCTGCTGAGATGGCGCCTGAACAGCCCCTCCCCCCCACCCAGGTGACTGATATGAAGAGGGAGCACGGGAGGAGCCTGCCACCTCCTGAGTCCAGAGGCCTGACTGGGAGGTGGGATGGGTGGTGGCACCAGGCGGCACAGCTGTGTGGCTCCCAGGGCCTGGTGATCGATGTGGTCCCGGTGCAGCCGCCTCTGTCTCCCAAGCACACATGCCCATTTGTCATCAGTATCTTGGGGAGGGCTCGGGAGACAGGGATGTGGCCCCCCTCTGCTCCCACCACCAAGTCCAAGAGGGTCTGCAGCCCCTCGGGGAGCCCCAGGCTCTTTCCTGAGCCCAGCCCCCTCCTCCCAACCCCCACACTCTTCTCCGAGCCCCGTCCCCTTCAAGACATGGACACCAGTCAGTCCTCATCTGCTTTCTCCTGCAGTGGTGGCTGCCATGCTGATCCCCCTTTGAAGGGCCCCTTCAGATGGGCAGCCCTCTCCACCCCTCCGGGGGTGCCCACCCAGTGTTTGGGGCGGCAGAGCCTGAAGGCCAGCAGGGGAGGACAGCCTGTGCCCCGTGGCTGCACTGCACCCCAGCCCTGCCCTGCTCAACGCGCCGGCCAGCCCTGAGTCCTAGGGAACAGGGCGAGTGTCTGCGTGTCCGCATCCCTAAGAGTGTCGCTTACCATGGATGTCCTCAGGTGTGTGTGCACCTGTGTGTGCACATTCCCTTGAATGTGTCCAGGTGCCTGACTCGCCACTGCGGCTGGGCTGTGAGTCCTTCCGTGTGCACCACCACCGTGTCCACTCTGAGTGGTGTGTGTGTGTGTGTGTGTGTGTGCCCGGGCCCCATGCATTCTGGTGGCTGACTCTCTACCGAGTCGGCCCAGCCATGCAGAGGCTGTCCCTCCAGGCGCTGGGTAAGGGCTCATCTGGAGCCTTGTAACGCTCGTGTGCACACACCCGAAGCCGGTGTGCCCACACTCAACGTGTGCCCCACGCAGGCGCTCACTGGGGCGGTGGATGGCCCAGGTGGTGGCCCAGATGGAGAGTGGAGCGGCTTCCGAGCGAGTGTGTGGGGTGTGGGGGGAGGAGGGTCTTGGCTGAGCTTGGCCGCTGCAGGCTCGGCCGCTGACCTGCCTGAAGCCACCCAGATGGATGAGGCTGAGCAGGTGGCTGTGCCGTGGGGCCATGCTGGGACGCCCCCGCCCCCCCGCCTGGCCTGGCCCCACACGAGGCTGACCCCCTCAGAGACCTCCCGCGCCCACCCGGCTCCCGCCAGAGCAGGGACACACGTGCGTGTGCACACGCGCGTGTGCACACACACGCACGCGCACACGGTGTTCGTGAAACTCAGAGCTGGTCTCTCAGCGCGGCAGCTTTCTTCCTGGCTCCCCAGCACAGCGGAGGGCCCTGGGGGGGGCGGTGGGACAAGGAAGGGCTGGTGTCCCCAGGAGCCATACCTGGCTTGGAGTCGCTCAGCAAATGGCCATCGGGCAGACAGAGACTCAGGCGGGCATGAGTGGGATCAGCCCAGAAATGGGCCGGCTGGGGGCTGGCAGGCCTGGGGTGGGGGGGTGAACATGATAAAATACAGGGTGCCTAGTTAACCTTACATTGCAGAGAAACAACAAGCTTTTTTTAGCATACATTCCACACATTGGCTAGAACATACCTCTGCTACGGAAGCATTCGCTGTTTACCCAAGTCAGACTGAACTGGTGTCTTTTATTTTGACCTGCCGTCTGGGGCGACCCTAGCCGAGTGCGTGGAGCTGAAGGAGGAGGTGGGGGAGGCCAGGGGAACCGCACACACAAGGGTGGGGGGAGCAGGCTGCAGGGTGGAGCTGGGTGCCCATGCCCCCAGCTCTTGTCCTCGCAGCCCTGGGAGCTGTGGGCGGAGGGCAGTGGGGAGCCGGGCAGGGGGTGGGCACTGACCAAGGCCCCCTGTGCGCAGGTGGCCATGGGGCCCGGGCCGGCCCGCTAGCAGGCCGCCATGTCCCGCGAGGGGGGCTCCTGCCGCCTGGGCGCCGGGGCGCGGGCACGGGCTCGGAAGCCCAAGAAGCCGCACTACATCCCGCGGCCGTGGGGCAAGCCCTACAACTACAAGTGCTTCCAGTGCCCGTTCACCTGCCTAGAGAAGTCGCACCTGTACAACCACATGAAGTACAGCCTCTGCAAGGACTCCCTCTCCCTGCTGCTCCACTCCCCGGACTGGGCCTGCCGCCGCGCCCCCACCGCGCCCCGGCCCCGCGCGCCCAGCCCGGACCGCCCCCTGGGCCCCACAGACCCTGGCAGCCAGCCCCGAGGACCACAGCTGCCCATCGCTCCCGCCATGCCCGACCTGGCCTCCCGTGTCCTGTCCCCGCGCCGCCACGTCGGGGGCCCAAAGCTGGGGGCTGATGGGTACCCCGGTGTGCCATCCCCCCTGGCCCGGGAGGCTGCCCAGAAGGATGTGGGCCTTGGGGGGCTCCTGGCCGAGGCATGGAAGCCAGGGCCGGGCGGGGGCCGGAGGCGCATAGCTGTGGTGGACGCGGCTGCAGCGGGCCCTGAGAGCGGGGGGGTCCCCTGCTACCCCCCGCCCACCCCCAGCGAGCTCCCTGAGGCCCAGAGCCTCCATCTGTCCCTGCTAGGTGTCGACTGCCCTCTGGGCCCTGGTCTCTTCTCCTACCTGGGGCCCTCCCTGGCTGCCACAGCCCACATGCCCTTTCTGGCCTCGGCCAGCCCCCTGTTGCCCCCGGTCTCTGCTTTCCCATCCCCACAGACCCCTGAACGCCCTGCCCTGGTCCCCCGCTTGTACTATCCCCTGCTCCTGGAGCATACGCTGGGGCTGCCGGCAGGCAAGGCTGTCCCTGCCAAGCCCCTAGCCCCCCCAAAAGGGCCCCCTGGGACTCCGGCCCCAGGGCCGCTGAAGGTGCCAGTACCCGGGCTGGGCAGGCCCTGGCCCCGTGGAGCCCCCAGGGACTCAGGGCAGGAGGGGGAGCTGGAGCAGGCTGCCCAGAGTGACCCCAAGAGGAAGCTGCCCCTGGGAAGCAGGTTGGAGCCCCTGAAGGCACCCTCCAGCACGGTGAAGTTCAGTGCCCAGAGCAGGTAGGTGTCAGGGGCCCCTGGCCACGGGGGTGGGGAGGGGTGGGAGGTGAGCTGGCCAGGGTGGCTGGGCCCCATTCTTCAGGCCACAGAGGAGAAACCAAGGCCAGAGAGCCAGACTCTCTATCCTTCTGGGATCCCAAGGCCCTCAGCCAGGCTGCAAAGGGGTCGCCAGGGGGTGTGGCGCAGGGACTGGGGGTGCTGGGGAGGTGGGCAGTGCAGCCTCTTGACTGGCTTCTACCCCCTAGCCTTCGGACTGGCCCCTCCGTGATGCTCTGGCCTGAGGACAAGGAGCCAGGCAACCCCGAGACCCCGGGCCCTTCAGCCCCCCTGCCCCAGCAGCCCCTGGGCCTGATGCCAGGTGGCCCCGGGCACGTGGGTGAGGACCTGACTCAGGCCCTTGGCGACTACGCCAAGGTAGAGCAGCGCCTAGGGCAGTTGGTGCCTGCCGGGGGTCTGGCCCCTCGGCCTCTGCGGGAGCAGCTTGGCAAGATCCGCCAGGAGCTGTTCACCATCCACCAGACGCTAGAGTGGGCTGTTCGGCCACCGGATGCACCCCTCGACCTCTCTGTGAAGCGGGCGCCCACCAAGGGGCCCAAGGGGCCGGTGGGGGCCTGGGGGCAGCTGGAGCTGGGCCCCACGCTGGCCGGGGGGACCCCGGAGCCACCTAGCATGCTGGGCCCCACAACAGCTGAGCCTTTCTCTAGCCACACCACCAAATGCGAGGCTGACTCCAGTGTCCCACTCCCGGGCCTGCCCCTTCAGGCCCCAGAGGACCCTGTCATTCCTGGCAGCAGCTGGGGTGCCCGTGGCGGGTCGAGGGGGTCCTGGCCCCCTGAGGCTGTCCCTAGCCTCCAGAGCCCCCCGGGCGCCAAGGTCTGACCACAGCATCTGCTGCCTCCTCTGTTCTTAACAGACAGGGCCCTTCAACCCCGTGTCCACTGCCTGGCCCCCCACCTGCCCCAGCCCCAGGGGTGTGGCCTAGAGCCTGCCCAGCATGCCCATGGACTGACCTCACCTGCCACGGCTGTGGCCTATCTCTGGGGCCACAAGGGACAGCAGAGAGTCATAGCTCCTTAGTGATCACAGTTGTGAATGTTTAAATAGAAACCATCTTCACATACCCTGTCTGGGCCTCCTTCTTGCCTCAGCGTCCACCACTGAGACACTCCCCGCCAAGGAGATGTCCCTGGCCTCCACATCTGAGTGGCCAGTGTCCCGGGCCACCCTGCTGGGCATTCACCTTCAGACCCGGACCTGCCTCCTGTGGACTGGCCCCCCCTCCAGGCCAATGGGGGGCTTTCCATCAAAGGGGGTAGAACCAGGAGAGGTGGGGAGGCAGGTGTGGGTGGGAGCTAGTCAGGCCTGTGTTCCAGCATGTTGCTGGTGGATAGAGACCCCTGGGCCTGCCTCCAGCCCCCGTGTCTAGCCAGGGCAGCCCTGATGTCAGATTCTCGCTGTAGGCTGCTCCCGCTATGGTTAAGCGGTGCCCCCACATTCTGTGGCTCAGGGCTGTTTGCCCGGCGTGGCCTCCGCTGGCCCCCAGCCAGCCCCTGCAGCCACGATAGGCATCGGGTGGCCTTCACAGCTCACTGCCTCCCTCCCTGCACAGCCACACTTGGCCCTTCCCACAGGCGGGGGGCAGGGGGCAGGCAGGGAGGGGTGCCCGCAGGACCCTTGGACCTAGCTAATGACTTCTCTCCCCGGAGCTGGCCATACCTCTGTACCCACCCAGGAATGGCCCCAGGGAGGGCAGTTCCTGCCTGTGCCTGGCTCCCTGAGCTGGACCAGCCAGGCTGGGGCCAGTTGGAGCAGGACCTACGGCTGCCCCATTAATTGTGCTCGGCAGCAGATAGCATCGGTCGTCCACCCCACCGTGGGGCATTAAGAGGCCAAGTCCAGAGCTGGGGTGTGGGCCAACCAGGTGGGAAGCACTATGGGTCACGGACAGGCGCTGACCCCTCCCATCCAGGGGCTTCCTGGAGAGTCCCCAGGTCCTGTGTCCGAGAGAGACCTGCTCCTCCTTGGCCCTCTATTGGCACCCCCATGTGTCTACTGCACCCAGATTTCTTATCACCACCAGGCAGATGTGAGCTTAGGGGGCATCAACCCAGTTTCACAGGCGTAGAAACAGGACCCAACCCTGCCAGTTTTGAGGGGTAGGATGAGCCCCTTGGAGATTCCCCACCCCAGACTCTGGTGAGTGGCCCAGCCCACATGTAAGGGGTGCATCCCCTTCTCCGAGGGCCTGACCCTGTGGTCCTACTGGGGGAGTGTGGGTGAGGCGGACTCACACGGATGTTAGCTCGGTGCCTCCTGAATTCATGAATTGCATTACGGCAGGTTTTGCAGGGGTGTGGGGGCCTCCCTGGAGAGGGGTGGGCTGAGCTGACCATGAGTGGCATCCGGATATGCAGGGACAGTGGGAAGAATGTCCCAGAGGCCAGTGTAAAGGACCCGAGGCAGGACTGTGGCAGCCCTGGGGCGCCCCTAGGGGGTTTAGCAGCTGAGTGATGACGCCACACAGCTTCCCTGGGCTACTGCTCAAACGTGTTCTTGGCCCGCGTCCCACCTGCCCCTCCCACTTGCCCATGCCCGCTTTGTCAAGGTGGCCCCTCCCTCAGGCTGGTTTCTAACAACAGAGGCTGTTGCTGCTGGAGCGAGGTCAGGAGGCTAGCCCCAGGTAGGAGACCCCCCCCGCCCACCTCTCTGCTCTCGGAGAGCCCCCCTGCCTAACCCTTCAAGGGTTGGAAGCTTCCAGGGTCTTTGTGGGGGCAATGGGCAGAGCCTTGGGCTGCCCCCTAAGAAGGGTCACTTTCCTTGCCTGAAGGAAGGAAGGGTTCCCTGGACAGATGAGTTTGAGAAACACTGCCCATCTGTCACCATCTCCCTCTACCCCCTGCCCCCCACACACACCTCGGGACCTCCCAATGCCCGGGAGCTCATGCAGGCCTCAGAGAAAAACCCGTAGCCACCTTCACAGGTCCCATGTTCCCCAGACTTGTGTTCCAGGGGCCACATGTGGAAAAATGGGACCTAGACACGTGGCTGGTGGCTGGGCTTGCAGATCAGGCCAGCACTCAGGACCTGGTGACACTACGCTTAAAGCCAGCCGCCCCCCCCAACCCAGTGCCTCAGTTTCCTCCTGTGTAAAACAGGAGAACGCCAGCACCCCCGGGAGGGAGCAGGGGGAGAAGGGTCACCACCGCTTGGCCCCTAGTGGGCATTATTTCTCTTGCAGTGCCACACTGGGCCCAGCTGCAGGACCTCGGCTCAGAGGAGCTGAGACTGTGATCCCTAGCCACCCACCCGTCTGTCCTCTGGCCTCCTGGGCCTCCCCGACCCACTGACAGGCCGCCCCCAGGGCCTGCTCTGCGAGCTGGACCCACCCAGAGACCCCGCTCACTCCTGCCGGCCCCGGCTGCTTGGGCGGATCCCAGTGCCCGCGGGGGCCGCAGGAGGACCCCGGGGTCTGCACTGCTCCCTGGATGGCCTGCTCTTCCTGACGGCTGGGGCTGCACCCTGCGTCCATGTGCTGGACCTCGAGGGACGATCCATCTGCCACTTGCCCTGCCACCTGCCAGGGGCTGGAGCCTTCGTGCCGGAGGATGTGGCTGTGACAGCTGCTGGGCTCATGGTGGTCAGCGACCTCGTCAGTGGGGCTGTGCACGCGCTTCGGCACACTGCCCGAGACCCCCAAGGCCGCTGGGTCACGGTGGGCTCCTTCCTGGCCCCCCGGGGGCTGGCTGTGGACGCCACCGGCCGCCTCCTGGTGACGGACTATGTGCTCGGGGCTGTGCACAGCTTTGCGCTGAGCCCTGCCCTGGAGCCACGGGCCCCAGCCTCCATACTGGGTCTGGAGGGCCCCTGCTGGGTGGGCCCGGGGCCAGACGGCGGCCTCACCGTGAGTGAGGAGTTTGGGGATGTGCGGCTATTCGGCAGTGCCTGCCAGCCCCTGGGCTCCCTGGGGGGCCTGACGGGGCACACCTTTGGCAACCCGGCGGGCATATGCACTGACGTGGAGGGCAGCGTGATTGTGGCGGATGAGCAGCAGGGCCACGTGACCCTGTTTCCTCGGGCCGGCGCGCCCGTCTGCCTGGTGTCCGAGGGGCTGAGGCGGCCCTTGGGAGTGGCCTGTGCGCCTCAGGGCCAGCTCGTGGTGGCAGATGCGGGTGACAGCGACATCAAGGTGTACCAGTACCGCTCGCAGCTGGCCTGACCTGTGGGCTCAGATGGGAGTAGCCCCTCACGGGGTGTGGGTGAGCCCCCAGGACCCCAGGCCACTGCGGGAGGAACACTGGGGGTTGGTGGGGCCTCCAGGACTGCTGGCCACGCCTCCCCGACCTTGTGCGTTTGCAGGGTTCCTGATGGGCCAGGTCCTGGGTTGCCTCCTACCTTCTTCTTGGAGACGATTCAGACTTCGTTGGCTGCCACAAACCAGCCGCCTCCCAGCCACCAAAGTTGGGCCCTCTGCACACCTCAGTTTAGGGTGCCCGAGCACTCATGGCCCCCATGTCCACTCAGGCCCTGGCCCTGCCGGGTCAGGGCCCAGGAGGCCTGAGCTTTGGGCCCAGCCCCTGAAGCCTGCAGACCTTGCGCTGGGCAGCTACCAGCGTTTACCCAGGCAGGTTCTCGGGCCAGGTGCCCCAGCCCCAGCCTCCTAATCAGACAGAAGCAGGCAGGGAGGGTGCGGCTGGGATGGGCTGGGTTGGGCTGGGCTGGGCTGGGCTGGGCAGGGGTGCAGCCCTTCACCGTCCCCCATCTTCAGACGCACCCCAGGTGCCGAGCCTCCTGCTGCTTCTCTGGGCCTAACTGAGGTAAGGCAATGCAAAAGAGGGGCTGCCCCAGAGGCACCCTGGGGTGGCACATGGCTGGGAGGGGAGCCTCCATACCCCTGGTCCACTTCTCCCGTGTGAGATTGTCTCTCAGGCTGAACCTGCATTTTCTCCTCTGCAAACCAGGAGCAAAGGGCTCCAAGCTCATGGGTGGGGCGTGCTGGGAAGGTTGCAGGCGGTGGCCCAGCCTGGAGAGCCTTCCTATGAGGAAGGACTCCTGTTACCTAAAAACCATGGGCAAATGAGGCCCAAAAGAGGTGGGGGCGTGAGGGTGGAGCTCTGCGTTTGGGGCCCAGCCAGGCCCCTAGTTCCAGTGAGGGGTCTCAGTGGGAAGGGGACAGCGCCTGGTCACCAGGACATTGCCTCTGACAAGGTCCCCCTCATATGTACCAGCCCATGTGGGGGGCGGGATTTCAGTGGTCAGTGTAAGGAAGCATGACCACTACGTGCTCAATAAATGCTACTTGTTGCTACTGTGTCAGGGATATTGTTCGCTGGAGCAGGAGGGGCTAGGGACCCCGCTGACGACCAAACCAGATGGCTGCCACCTCTGGGCTGGCCCACTGAGGCCCAGCCTTCCTAGTCCACTGGGCCCTGGGGGGACCTGGGGGTGCCCCTTGGGCAGAGACTGTTGTTGGAGGGGGCCAGTCTGGAGCTGGGGAGGCAGCTCCTTCTGGAACCCCACACAGGGCTTGGGGGTCCTTTCACCAGTGGCAAGGTGAGGTGGGGGACCCTCAAAAGCCAGGCCCACCGGGTCCCTCAGATGAGGAAATGGGGGATGGGGGAGGTTTGTCAGCTGTGAGAAGGTGGGGGACTGGAAGGCAGGGGTGTTGGGGACACTGCAGGTGTACTGGAGGGGGTACAAGAATGCTGCGGGGACAAGGATACTGTGCAGGGGGGAACAAGGACACTGGGGGAACAAGAACGCTGGGGGGGCAAGGACACTGCTAGGGGGAGACAAGGACATTGCTGGTGGGGGATAAGAACTCTGGGGGGGAAAAGGACATAGGGCGGGACAAGGACACTGGGGGTGGAAGAGGACACTGGGGGGCAAGGACCCTGGCGGAGGGGGACAAGGACACTGTTGGGGAACAAGGATGCTGCATGGGGGGAACGAGGATGCTGCTGGGGGACAAGGATGCTGCGGGGGACAAGGACACTGGGGGGGCAAGGACACTGCTGGTGGGGGACAAGAACGCTGGGGGGGCAAGGACACTGCTGGTGGGGGACAAGAACGCTGGGGGGGACAAGGACACGAGGGGGGACAAGGACACTGGGGGACAAGGATGCTGCTGGGGGACAAGGACGCTGGGGGGGGGAACAAGGACACTAAGGGGGGGCAAGGACGCTGCTGGGGGACAAGGACGCTGCGCACGCAGACTCCCGGGACTGGAACGTTGCGCGCGCGGAACGCTCGAGCGGGGTCCGCGCGCAGCTCGGGCGCCTTTGGGGGCCGGACCGTCGCGCGGCAACGCTGGGAGCCGGCGGAAATGGGGCTCGTGTCCCGCGGCGCGGCCGCGGCGGGGCTGGGGGCGGCGAGCGCTGTCGTCCGCCCAGGTCCGCCCCACGCGGTCCCCCACTCCATCCCTGGGGAGCAGACGGTGAGCATTCGGGGGGAGTGGGCCGGCGTCCGTGCGCTGTGACCTTGGGGCGCCGCCCCTCCCGCCCCGGCCCCCGGACTGTGCCCCCCCCCCGACTCCCCCGGCCGGGCGGGACCGGGCGCCGGGCGCGGGCCAGGCGGCGGAAGGGGCCCCGAGGCTCCTTCCAGGGCCGGCGCGGCACAGCGCCCCCCGCCACGCCCCGCGTCTGGAGCCTCTGTTTCCTCTTCTGTGAAATAGGGGCGCTGCAGGTCAAGGGGCGGGCCTGAGGCAGCAGGGCTCCGGGGGCGGGCCCGGGTGGGTGGTCTGCCGGCGGTGCCGCCGTGTCCCAGTGACATCCCCAGCCGGCCCCCGCGGTGGACCCTGGGGAAGGGCGTTCAGGGCCCAGGAGGGACCGCAGTACATAGGGCACAAAACAACGGTAGGGGTGCCTGGCCGGCTCCGTCGGGGGGAGCGTGCACGCTTGATCTCGGGGTGGTGGGTTCGAGCCCCGGGTTGGGGGTTGTAGGTTCACAGCCATTCTTCTGAGATGACGGGGAGAAAGCACTGTTTACCCAACGCCAGACAAAAACAAACAACATGGGGTAAAAAGGAGTTTCTGGGAGCTCTGGAGTAGCTTCCAGAGGCGGGGGTCAGCCGTGGAGCTGTCCCTGGCCAGCCATGACTGGGCTCTTCCCCACAGTCAGTTCACGCAGAGGAGAGAAGTACAGCTTCCCTCATAAGGCACACTGATGACCTCAGGTGTTGAGACCAGGGCTGTCCCTGCCCCAGAGACCTGGCTGCCTGACCCACCTGGGAAGGGAGCTCTGTGTTCCCCCTGACAGACGAGGCTTTCCCAGGCCTGGGCCCTTGTTTTGGATCCTGGTCTTTAAAGATGTGCTCCTTGCCCAAGTTCCTGCCCCCTCCCCCGTCTGCACCTCCGCTATTGATTGCCTGCTCTTCTTTTTCTGGGCGTCTGATCTGAGCAGGTTTCTTTGTGTTCCTCACTCCCAGAGGCTGAGGTGGGGGTGGGGATGGGAGTTGGGCCCGTGGTTTGTTCTCTCTAGCTACCCCACGGATAAGAACAGCAACTTCTGCCCTCTGCCCTTCTTCCTTAGACATAAGGAGCTGCTTCTTTTTCTTCTTCTTTTTTAGGCAAACTTTGTAGATGAAGCATAACCCACACAAAGAAAATGCACAAACCATATGAGTATAACTCAATGAATTTTCCCGAAGTGAAAACCCCATTGCTCCGACAGATGCAGCTTCCCCCAGAGCATCTGTTCACTATTAGGCCAATTGTTTTTCTTTTCCGACAGTAGCCATGGGTCGTTTTCCTTAGATCCTGTGCAAGGAGTCCCCAAGCGGGGTGTGATAGTGCTGTTTGGCTGAGCTGGCTTAGTGTGATGCCCGGCCCCCCACCATGGTCAGCAAGCCTGAAGCCACAGGTCCCTTGCAGGCAGAACTGCTCTGTCCATCTCACATTGCCCCATCAGGAAGGTCAGGAAGAGAAGTGGGCCCCTGGTGATGGCCACGGGGATTTGGCCCGGGGCTGCTGCTGGGCTCTGGGCTTTCCCCTGCCGGCACCAGTCACTTGGTGAGGAGAGACATTCGGGAGTGTGGCTGTTCAGCTCAGAGGACCCTTTTCAGCTGGAACCCACTTGCGCAATTGCCGGGAGAGGCCTCTACCTCCCGGCCCCAGTCTGGCCTCCCTGCAGGGAGGGCGAGCTACTGCACCAGTGACCTCTTAAGCCCTGGGCATTTGTGTCTGTGTAAGGCCCCTCCCAGAGCCCCCCAGCTGATAGCAAATGGATGACACGTCCCACCATCCCAACATGTATGTCCCAAGGGCCTGGCGAGCGGTGGGGCCTGGAGACCTGGGCTCCGTCCAAGGCCTGTGTCCCTCCCTCGGGTGTGGGCTCCAGCTTGGGGATCTTAGCTCAGGGTGGCTGCTGGGTCCTTTGTGACAACAAGGTGGGGAGAGTCAGTGTCTGAGAAAGAGCATGCTCCAAGGTGAAGCCCTCAGGGCTCTGCTGGATGAGGGCCTGCTGCCCACCATCTGGGAGGGGCTCAGTGCTTGCTGAGAAACCTGCATCCCCAGTGAACTTACCTCTGGGCAAGGCAAGGCTCAGGGTACCACAGAATTCGGGGGTCATGCTACTTGGGGCCGGTCTTGCTGGTTAGAGGCCAGGAAGGCTTACAGCCCTCAGCCTGAGAGAAGACAGTGGGGAGCTTGTCATCCTCCAGGCCCCCCACGTTTAGACAGCTGCCTAGCTCAACTGTGACAAGAGAGTCAGTCCCCTGCTGGGAACTCAGCCCCGAAATGGTGGGTGGGCACAGCCATAGGCTGGTGGGTCAGAGTAGCTGCCAAAGCCCCATGAGAGCCCCGAGGCTCCTCTGGGGGCTCACCAGACAGGGGGTAGGCTTAGGGCACAGGCACGTCCCCCGGTATGTTCTGGGGCCCCTGCACCAGTGCCCACAGCCACCAGCCGTGTGCCTGCATCTGGTTTCTCTCAGCCCAGCAGTAATCCATTTACATTTTCATCTTTATTCTCGCTAGCTTAGTGAGTAAATCAAGGTTCATTAGATTTTAATGTGCATTACTTTAATTGTTAATGAGATTGTACATTTTTCCATGTGCTACACATAAGAAACTCATCAGTTTCCTTGAAAACAAAAACAAAGCCCTCACGTTCAGCCCCACACACCATCGTGAGTGGTTCCGGAGATCATGGCACGTCCCCTATTCTACCTGCTTGTCTCTGAAATGGGGGCAAGCGTTGGCCGGCTTGGGATGGGAGTAGGGGCCATGCCCATGTGACATGGGCCCTGTGGCCATGTGTGTGTGTGTGTGTGTGTCCTCAGGGCCATCTGTGGTGCTGCCGGCCACCCTGGGGCCGCCCCAGACTGAGCCTGTCCCCTCTCTTCCAGCGTGCCCAGCATGGTGCTCAAGGCCTTCTTCCCCACGTGCTGCGCCTCGGCCGACAGCGGCCTGCTGGTGGGACGGTGGGTGCCGGAGCAGAGCAGCGCCGTGGTCCTGGCTGTGGTGCACTTTCCCTTCATCCCCCTCCAGGTGAAGGAGCTCCTGGCCCAGGTGCATCAGGCCGGCCGCGTGGGGTTGGCCGTGCTGGGCACCTGGTGCCACCGCCGGCAGGGGGCTGAGGAGAGCCTGGGCCACTTCCTGGAGGGCCTGGGCACCATCTTCTCCCACGAGCCTTGGCTACAGCTGTGCCGGGAGCCAGGCAGCAAGTTGTGGAGCTGCAAGGCCACCCGCCGGCAGGTACCTCCCCGCCGCGGCGCCCCCTATGAGGACCAGGTCATGCTCGTCTTCTACGACCAGCGCAAGGTGCTGCTGTCGCAGCTGCACCCACCCGCAGCCCTGCCCGACCGCCAGGCCGGTGATGCCGCGCCCAGTGCCGGGGGCTTGGCCGCTGTCTTTGACACGGTGGCGCGCAGTGAGGCGCTCTTCCGAAGCGACCGCTTCGACGACGGCCCTGTGCGCTTGAGCCACTGGCAGTCGGAGGGCGTGGAGGCCAGCATCCTTGCCGAGCTGGCAAAGCGTGCCTCAGGGCCCGTCTGCGTGCTGCTGGCCTGCCTGTTGTCACTCGTCTCGGCCGCCAGCGCCTGCCGGTACGTGCCCCTGGGGCCAGGGGGTGGCGGGGAGGAAGTCCGGCCGCTGAGCCCTAGCCCCCACTGTGGGCAGAGGCCTGGAGGCCCAGACAGGCCCTGCTGAGGCCTCCCGCTCTCATCTCCTGTCCCCTCCCCTCTTATCTCCGAGGACGTCTGGGTGGTGGTTGCTCCCTGGGCAGAGCAGTCTCCCTTGGCAGCCTCAGCACTGGCGTGGGACCCACTGGGTAGCCGTTCAGGGTGGACTTCAGGTGGCTCAGTCTCCTGCAAGGCGAGCAAGACCGTGAACACACGCAGGTTGTTGCCGACTGATGGCTGGTATTTGCGTGGCCTGGTGCCTGGGAGTTGTCCTCCTGAAGGAAGGCACGCAGGTCCCACCTGCTTCCCTGGCCCTGGTGGGGGCAGTGTCCGCTCCCTGATGGACGTGGGTTGGGGTGGTGGTCCCCAGCCTTGGCTTGTCTGTACAGTCCCCTGGAATACTCCTGGCTGTAGGCCTGGCCGAGGGGTGTAGCCCTTGGGGGCCCTGGGTGTTCTGGCTCCAGGGGTCCCTCCCTCTGAGAAGCCAGCTCCCCGATGGCGCCCCCTACTTAGGTCCCAGGGTTCTGGCTGTCGGGTTTGGGGACTGGCCTCACCTGCTGACCGAGGGCTGCCGAGCACTCTGGCCTGACTTGGCAGAGCGCCTTGGCAGCTCCGTGTGGACAGTGCCTTGGGTTGAGGGCTGCAGGGGCTCTTGACACAAAGGGTGGGTTTTGGATCTTCACAATCCCCTGGATTGAATTACAGGAAAGTGTGTGTCAGCCAAGGTGCAGTTTGGGAGAGAGATGGTCCTGGGCTTTTATCACCTTTCAAAGGACTCAAGAAAGGTTAACGACGCTCGTGTGCCGCAGATCCCGATCAGCCCGTCAGGCTAGAGCCGTGGGGAGAGCACAGTGGCAGTTACGTGAGGCATCGCTGTCACTGTGCAGAAGTGAAGCCCCTGGCCCCCTAGGGCAGCCCCAGGGATGCTGTTGGGGCCCTGGCTGCCCTGGGCTGGTCTGAGCCTCGGGGACCCTGCTGTGCAGACGGCGGGGGGAGGGTGCTCAGTGCAGACAGTGCCTTCCACTTGACTGGAGTTCAGGATGGCTGTGCTAAACGTGACTCATTCCTGGAGCTGGCTCAGAACCGCTTGAAGACTTCCTCCTTCCTCCTGAGGGTCCGAGCGCCTGGCTAGTGGCGGCCCTGCGCTTAGCACAAGCCCTGCAGGCTCCTGCTGGCGGCAACAAGGCTCTGGATGGACATGGAGCCGAGAGACAATAGGGCCCTTTCTTTACCTTTACTTGCAAACATCTCCTCTCAGTGTTGGAATCCCTGCAGAAGTACCTCAGTGCTTCCTTTGCCTTGCGAGACACGAGTCTCATGGGGCAGCCTGGCCGGCCTGCAGACCCTTGATGAGGGTCACCCATTCAGCAGGGCAAGGCGCTGGTTGGCAGGACAGCACGTTCTCTCTACTCCTGGGGTGAAGCCTTGGCACTTGGCTTTGGGTGTGACTCGAGTCACTGCTTTGTGAGGAGGTCGGGTTCCCAATTAACAGCCACGAGCACACCGTGACCCCCACCGGGCTGCCTGCCTGTGCGCCCCCACAGTGTCCCTGTCCTGCTGAGCTCGGGAGTGTGGCTATCGTGTTCAGGGCCTCCAGCGTCTTGACGTGGGCCCGGTGAGGGGTGTTGGTGCCAGCTGAGGGGCCCCCACTCCCCGGCAGGCAGGAGGACCGCTGCACCGCCCGAACGGCCACCTCTTGGCTCCTTCACAGGCTGTTCAAGCTGTGGCCCCTGTCCCTTGTCTGGAGTAAGCTCTCTGTGTGCGAGCAGCTCAGGCACCGGCTGGAGCAGCTCACGCTCATCTTCAGCACCCAGAAGGCCGAGAACCCCACCCAGCTGATGAGGTGCAGCCCTGCCTGGGTCTCCTTCATAGTGGCCAGTCGCGCGTCCCCCCCACTTCTTTGCACCAGGCCCACCCATGCTGACCCCCTCCGGCCAGGCCCCACTCACCACCCACTCCCATTGGCCCCCTCCTTCCAGGAAGGCCAACGTGCTTGTCTCTGTGCTTCTCGATGTGGCCCTTGGCCTTGCGCTGCTGTCGTGGCTTCGTGGGAAGGACCGCATTGGGCCACTGGCGGAGGCCCTCGTCCCTGTGGCTGATGTGAGTTACTGGAACACCTGTGTCCCAGGGGTGGGAGTGGGGCCCTGCCTGGGAGTAGCAGAAGCCCCTCAGCTGGCCAGAGCCACATGACTCTTTGCCTCTGTTGGGCTAGAGGAGCCGCCCTGGTCCCTGACCCCAGACCGGTCCCCAGGGCTGCACATACTTGGCTCACCGGATGCCCACCTGCCCCCACTGGGTCACATCTCAGCTCCTGGCCTCTACCTTCCTTTCCTGAAGGTGGTCATGCCTGGGGCCACCTTGTGGTTGAGGCTTTTCGGGGGAGGCCCCTCCCCCCCCACTAGGCCCAGGGTCCCTGGCTCCTGGCTTTGAGGCAGCTGGCTCTGGGCTTGGCCCTCTGCACAGCAAGTACCATAGAAACCTTCCGTGTATCCAGGGCTGTCTGTGTCCAGCTGCGGTCAGGCCTCTCCCACTGCTGATTCGGGGTTCCCATGCTGAGTACCAGCAGTTTCCACTTCTCCCAGTTTCCGCCCTGTTGCTCTTCTCTGCCTCCTTTCCTCAGAGCCATAGGCCCTGTCATTCCTGTTGGGAGCTTGTCTTCCTGCTTGGAACAGTCCCTCTGGCCATGTGGGCCTCCCCCAGGCCTCTGCCAGTGGCCTCCTGGCCCCAGTGTGGTCGAGGGGCTGAGGCCTGGCGGGGTGGTCCTTGTGCGTGCAGCCTCTGGCACTCCCATCCCTGTCCAGCTGCAGCCGTGCCCTCGGCCTGCTCGTGAACAGGGGCCCTCACAGGCCGAGAGCCCCTATAGCTTCTTGGGGAGACCTGGTCCAGGAGGAAGGAGGAGGGAGGGCCTGGAAGCCAGGACGGGGGCTTCGCTGCTGTACCTTGCTCACCCATGCTCTGCCTTTTGGCCAGCTTCATCTTCGATCTCCCTTTTGCAGAACTGCGCAGAAATATAAATATTTAATTTAAAAATGAAAGCCTCTTCCTGCCGCCCAGCTCTTATCCTTTAAATATTAGATAAGCTCTATTTATAAAGAATGCTCTGTTCCTTTTCTCGCTGCCCCAGACTCAGCTGAGGCCTTCACAGGCCCACATGGTGGGCAGCGGGGCTGGGGGGCAAGGCAGGCCTCTGACTGTGGGGCAGGGCTGTCATGGCCATGGCTGCAGCATTGCTGATGAGGCTGAGGGTCCTCGGGGCCTGTGCCCTGGGACCGGCCCAGTGCCCAGACATTGGCCTTCCTCCCTGGTCGGCCAGGATGCTGCTCAGCTTCCCAGCTTGCCGGTGAGCATCCCCGTGCCATCTCTGGCCCTCACTGGACATTGTTCATGGCTCAGAACCTCATCTGTCCTTCCCACCTGCTACCTGGGCCCCTGATGGGCGCGACACCCTCAGGGTCACCTGGGGTCGCCCACCCAGCTCAGGCCCAGGCGTCTATGGTGCCGTGCTGCCAGGTGGTGGGGTGGGGTCCTCAGCAGAGGGGCACTGGGTAGACCCATCAGCTCCCCCAAGGTTCATGGTGAGCTGGGCTCTGTCCCACCTCTGGGCACATGGGGCTGAGCTCTCCTGTGGGTCCAGTGGCGTGAGGATTGAGATGGAAGAAAGCTGATGCCCATCAGGGCCTCCGTGGCCTGAGGGCCAGGGGCACACTGTTAGCCTCTCAGCCCCAGGTCCCCGAGCATCTGTGAAGAGGGCTTCCTTGGCCAGACAAGTGTGGGAAACCTCGTGTGCCCATCACATTAGGAGACACTTGGAGAGAGGGACCCAGACTACCTTCTTCCTGCCCAGATGGGTTGGCTGTGCTGGGGCCCAGTTTACGGACTTCATGTTCCTCCTGTGTCTCTATAGCATGTGGCTGAGGAGCTCCAGCATCTGCTGCAGTGGCTGATGGGTGCGCCTGCTGGGCTGAAGATGAACCGGGCGCTGGACCAGGTGCTGGGCCGCTTCTTCCTCTACCACCTGCACCTGTGGATCAGTGAGTGCCGGCTCCATCTGGCCCCAGGGAGCCCCCCCAATCCCCCCCCAGTGCAGGGGGTGGGGCCAGGCCAGGCCCCGTCCCCTCCGTCCCTGCTTTTCTGTCCTCTTGCTGTCCCAGGTATGTGTGTGTAGCCCTGCTCTGCTGGGCTGGCTGCTCGGCCCAGGGACGGCCAGCAGTGAAGTCCATCCCTCAGTTTCCAGAAACCTCAGGCGCCCCTCCTCAGTGAGAAATTGGGGGGGAGGGCAGGACCTCCCTGGGTGCCCCCCTCAGAGCCAACCCCCATCCCCCCAGGCTACATCCACCTCATGTCCCCCTTCATCGAGCGCATCCTGTGGCACGTGGGCCTCTCAGCCTGCCTGGGCCTGACGGTCGCCCTGTCCATCCTGTCTGACATCATTGCTCTGCTCACCTTCCACATCTACTGCTTCTACGTCTACGGGGCCAGGTGGGTGTGGGCGCCCCACTCGTGCAGGCTGGCCCATGGTGGCCTCCAAGCCCTGAGGGCCACGGGTGGCCGCCGGGGGGGCATGGCGCCCCGCCCTGATGCTGCCCGTGCCCCGCAGGCTGTACTGTCTGAAGATCTGCGGCCTGTCCTCGCTTTGGCGTCTGTTCCGGGGGAAGAAGTGGAATGTTCTGCGCCAGCGAGTGGACTCCTGCTCCTACGACCTGGACCAGGTACCGGGCAGGGTGCAGGGGGAGGCTGGGCAAGGTGCAGGGGGAGCCTCCACGCTCCCATCAACCTGGTCCCTCTCTACATGAGCCTGGCCAGTGCGGCTGCGCGGCACGTGTTGGGGCAGCTCCCCTGCGGGGGGGTCAGCGTGGAGCCTGGGGCACTGCTCTGCGGGGGGCAAGGTGCACGTGGAGCCCTCCCACAGTGCAGGACCTTGCCCCAGGTGGGAGGCGGACCCTGCTATGAGGAGGGTGCTGGGCCCCAGGGAGCTCCTGGACGGTGGGGCACGGACATGACCTACGCACAGGAGCCGGCTCACACCTGGTCTGACCAGGTGGACCCTGTATGCTGCCCTGCACAGCATGCTTGTCCTCCCGCCTTTGGTGTATGTGCTTACGCCTTGTTGGCTGGTTCTGTCTCCCCACGTGTCACCGAGTCTGGATGGCACGCGGACACATCCCGCCCCGTACTGGAGAAAGCTGTCATGAGCGGGTTTTTCTGGGCTGTCTCGGAAGCCCAGGTGTCCTGTCTGCAGGCATCCCATTTCTGCTCCGTTGTAGGGTGGGTTTGGTGGGGATGGGCCACGGAGGTGTGGCTTGTGCCACTGGGGCCGTCCCTGGCGTGGGGTTCTTGCTGATGCTGACGGTGGTGTTCTTTCTCCCTGCAGCTGTTCATTGGGACTTTGCTCTTCACCATTCTGGTCTTCCTCCTGCCCACCACGGCCCTGTACTACCTGGTGTTCACCCTGGTGAGCCGAGAGGCTGCTGGCTGACCTGGCCGCTGAGCCTTGCCCACAGTGCTTGGAGTGATCCCTGCCTGCCCTGCCTGCCAGCCAGGCAGCTGTGGGCAAGCCATCCACCCCTACCCCGGGGAGGCCGTGGCTATTCCAGACTCTCGGGGCACTGTGTGCTGGGCCCTGGAGTGGGCAGGGGTCCTACCCCGGGGGGTGCCTGCCACCGCTCTGGGACACAGCTGGGTGCACGGAGGGCCCAGGGGAGGGACACCCAGCTGGCCCCAGCCGAGGGGCCAGTAGCATGTTCCCCTGGGGTCAGCTGCCCCTGCCCACTGCTTCCCTGCCTCCTCATAGCTGGGCCTCAGGATCAGGGTGGGAGCTGTGCCCTCCTCAGGATGCGATCCATGTCCTCCCCAGGGGTCTGGAGCCCCTGCTCACCCTTCGTTGCGGCCAGGACCCCTGGGCTGCTGCAGTCACGGCCCTGGTGCAGCTCTGAGTGCCGTCTGTTGCTGCAGCTCCGGCTCCTGGTGGTGGCTGTGCAGGGCCTGATGCATCTGCTCGTGGACCTCATCAACTCCCTGCCGCTGTACTCGCTTGGCCTCCGGCTCTGCCGGCCCTACAGGCTTGCGGGTAGGTCTGTGTGCGGGGTGCACCCACGGGCCCTGCAGAAGCAGTGGTGTGCAGGGCGCGCGGGTGGTGGGGGCAGCCGAGACCCCTGATGTCCACTGGGCCAGCTGCCTGCGGTGAGCTGGAGGGCTCAGAGGCGACAGAGGCAGCCCTTCCTCTTTGTCACCTTCTTCTGTGACGAGCATGAACATTTGCCCTGACATCTGTCTGCAGTAGCGTAGGTGGTACCTGAACGTGGCTCAGAGAAGCATCCCTCTGAGCTCGTGTGGGACTGTGTGCCCGCTGGTGCCCCTCAACCTTGGAGAGGACAGGCCAGGCTGAAGGGTGCTGGGCTAGCCAGATCTGTGTGACCGCAGACCACGGTGCGTGGGACAGCACCCCCCTCCTAGCTGCCCCTGGCCGTCCCCCTCTACAGGTGGCTGCCCCTGTTTTCATGCTGACACCAACCGCTAGGTAGGTCACATGCTCCTGAGGGGAGGCTGGGGGAGGCTGACCTAACTGGTCACAGCATTGTGAGTTGGCCCATCCCCGTTGAGGGGTTTTGAACACATCAGGGAGCATGGGGCATTCTTGGTACAGCCCCCATCCAGCGGCTATTCCACCGGCCCCTGTGCTGAGCAGCATGCCCAGGAGGCCCTGCATGCTGTTTGCAGCTCAGCCCCGACACCAAAGCTCCCAGCAATTGCTTCCAGCCTCTGGAGGGCCAGAGAACTTGAACCTGCATGCTCCGTGCACTTTGGACCTAGTCTGCCTTCCTGGTGCCCTTAGATTCTCTTTCCAGGCCACCTCCCCTGCAGACCCCCAGGTGGCCCATGCCGGGGACCCCAGCCTGTGTCCATACTTCAGAGTGCCAGGACCAGGCAGGCTAGGAGCCTGAGACCCAGCATCTTCCCTCCCCCAGCCCGCAGCTTGTGGTCAGAGCAGAGTTGTTTTAACTTCACATAAAAGTCCACAGATACTGCCGCCTCCTCTTGTTTTCACCGAGTTTGCCTTGGGGCCTCTTCATCAATTGATAATTAGCTCCTGCTTCTCTTTTCAAGAACTTTCTGCCTTGGAAATTCCCAGGCTGGGGAGCCCAAACCACAGGCCAGGGGCACAGTGGGTTCCCAAGTCACCGCTCATACAGAATTTGGAAGACGTTTAGATGCCAGCATGGCAGCCACATCCCACCAAGGACCCTGTCCACTCTGTGGGAGAAGCCACGTCCCATTTGGAAAGCAGCGCAGCCTGAGGCCCTGAAGCCCAGCTGACCCTGCCCCGCCTCCCAGACATGCAGCTTCTGTCTTTCAGTGAAGTTGTGCAGAGGCTTTGATACTGGCCAGGCAGCCGGCGGAGGGGAGGCGGACGGGGAGGTTGGGGGAGGCGTGTGGGGAGGTGAGCCCGGTGTGCGGCCCGGACCACCCACAGCCTTCTGAGTGCCGCTCGGACAGGAAGGGGCCTTTGCCACCACAGCCCCTGTGCCCAGGCCTGCCACTGCGGGCATACGGGGCAGGAGGCCCAGGAGGCTGTCTGCCGAGGGCCGTGTGCCTCACAGGCACCTTGCTGTCCTTGCAGCTGGTGTGAAGTTCCGAGTCCTGGAGCACGAGGCTGGCAGGCCCCTCCGCCTCCTGATGCAGGTGAGGCCTCTGCACATCTCTCACTCGGTGCCCCTGGGCAGACCCCCCGCCCCCCGCCATGATGTTGCACATATTCTGCGGCTGCTGCCCTGGGGGAGGGTTGCACGGGCGCAGCAGAGCTGACAGGTGGGGCCGCAAGGGGAGGCTCCCTCACCCCCAAGACCTCTGGGCACCGTGACCCCCTCTGCCTGGAACCTCCCTCAGCAGGTGCCTGGATGGGATCCCCTGGGCTGTGCCTGATGCCTTCCACCAGCCCGGGCTCCTGCTCTGAGCCCCATGGGCTCTTGTTTCCAGGAGGAAGAGCACGGACTTGGCGAAGGCCTCAGGATGCGCTCTTTCTCTGAAATGGTCCCTCTGGCCTGTGCTGCCTGAGCGGGCAGGTTGCTGGGTGACTTGCTGGGGGCTGGTGGGGTTGGCCTGAGGGCCATGTCTCAGGGAGAGGTCAGATGCTGAGGCAGCTGGGTCCCTGCACGGTTTTCTCAAGGGTGCGGGATATTCCCGGGCCCTGACTGGGAGGCTCCGGGGGGGGGGGGGAGTCCTGCAGGCGAGGGGTCGGCGCCCCTCCAGGCTGGCCTGCCTTGCCTCCCTGCAGCCTGCCCCGCCTCCCTGCAGCCTGTCCAGAGAAGAGCACGGCTGACCTCGGTCCGAGTGCTCCCTCCAGAGCTGCTCACCCTGCCCCTGGGGAGCACAGGGAGGGCCCGTCTGGACAGAGTGGGTGCTGCCCCGCAGCGGACAGCCCAGGGACCCCCAGTGAGGGGCCACTTGGACTGGCAAGCTTGAGCCTCAGGGAGCTGGGGGCCACGTGCTGGCTGAGCGCTGCCCTTGTGCTTCCAGATAAACCCCCTGCCCTATGGTCGTGTGGTGCACACCTACCGCCTCCCCAGCTATGGCTGCCACCCCACGCACTCCTGGGGCTCCCTGTGCCGCAAGCTGTTCTTCGGAGAGCTCATCTACCCCTGGAGGCAGAGAGGGGACAAGCAGGACTGAGGGGCCTGGTCGCTGGCCTGCCCAGTACCACCGTGCGGCCACAGTCTGCCCTCTTTCCTGCCAGGGTGTGGACGATCAGGACAGCACGCGTCCCTGATCTTTGCCTTCTCTGCCCCCAGTTGTCCGAGGCCTGTGCATCTCCTGCTGGCTCTGAGGTGGTGGGGTGCCGAGCAGCAGGGCACAAAGGCAGCCAGCCAGGCCCACAGGCCTCTGCTCTATCACTGGCTGTGTCTGCCTTGGGACCCGCCTCCTGACCTCTGGTGATGGCATTGGCCACCCAGTGCCCACCAACCCCCCTCCTATCGCACCCAGAGCCCCCGCCTCTGTCCACCATGCCTGCTCCCCGTGAGGTGAACTGGCAGGTCTCCCTGGTGCTCCCAGTGGCCCCACCCTGTCATGGCGTGGAGGGACCCCTCCAGGACACACTCAACGTTCTTGAGGCTGACCCCAAGCATCTCCTTGCTTGAGGGGGTTGCACTTCTGTGTCCCTCGCCCAAGCCAGCAGCCCCGGTGAACCAGGGCCGTCCGGGAAGCCGGGCGGACGCACCCTTAGCCTGGGTCACACAGGGTTTGCGTGGCGCCCCCTGGAGAGATTGCTTTGCACGAGGAGCTGCCCACGGGCCTTTGGGTCTCCCTGTGTGAAGCCAGGCCACACGGGGTGCCCGGAACTGCCTTGCTGAAGACCGAGCACCCATTCACCTTGCCACCCTGTCCCTGCCCCGCGCCCATGCAGGAACAGGCCCCTTGGCCAAATCTTCCATCTCCCTCACTGGCTTCCCACAGAAGCAGACAGCTGCTGGGCAGACACGTTTGTGGCCCCCAGTGTGTGGGGGGGGTCCTAGCATTCAGGTTGCGTCTGCCTGCTGGCCGGCGTGGAATCTGACTGTGGGTGTGAGCCCCAGCATCCCCAGGGGGAGGAAGCCCGCACATGCAGGTGGCATCGTGTGTGTTTTGCCATCTTGGAGTGGGACACGTTTGTGCTGTAGCCTGCACTCCTTGGCTGCAGGCCACAGTGGGGAGCCCGTGGGCAAGGTCCCACCAGCCCAGCGTCTCGGGGAACAGGTCCTAGCTCTGCCTTTTTCTGCTGTGACAATAAAACCTCCCACCTGTTAGGAGTGCGCCCCTCTGCCTTCCCATCGCTACATGGGCGGTAGGCCTGAGGAGGCCCCCCACCTTCATCCGAACTTTGGTGGGGGTGCGGTGAGGTTCCCTTTCTCCTGGGGTCATGGGGCAGCTGGCCCCCATTGTTTGTCCTGAGGTGTTTGACCCCTGTTTCTTGTTTGATGCCAAGCTGGGGGGCACCCCATCCCCTGAAGCAGGACTCGCTGCAGGTCTGATGCCTTGAAGGTGTCCTGGCATGGGCGGATGGACCCAGGGCCACTTGCTGTCTGGTTTTGGCCTTGCCCTGGTATGGGGGACAGGGCCGAGGGCAGGGACGCAGTCCTCCCTGGGGCAGGAGGGAGCTGCCCTGGCTCTGGTGAGTATGTCGCCTGAAACCTGTTGGCTCCACGCAGGGCAGAGGCCCCGCCTGACTGGCTTTCCCCCTCCTGCAGCTCTAGGACCCTTGGGTGGGCACCTGTGTGCCTGGCATCCTGGCTTTGTAGGGAAGGGCTGCAATCCGGAGAGGTCAGCCTCCACTAAAGGGGAGCCCTGCAGGGCCCCTGTGGCTTCCTTGGTGCCTCTCTGGTCTGAGGCAGGCGGGGAGAGGCCCGAGGGGATGCGAGCAGTGCAGGGACCCCGCAGAGGCCCAGAAGCCCCCGAGGAGAGTGTGCCCACACCTGCCCCCAGGCCCCTGGAGCCTGCTGAGAGCGGCCTCCACCACCTGTCTTTCTGGGGCTGCCTCCCCAGTCAGCAGATGCCACCTCTCTGCTTGGGGCTCTGGCCAGCCCACTGGGCGGTGGTGGCCACGTCACAGGCCTCGTGTGGCAACTGTCACCCTCTGTGCTGGGTTGCCTCTTCCTCTCCTGAGGGCAGCGCCGGTTACTCCAGCCACTTGCTGCCACCGAGGGATGCCGCTCCCACCCTCCCGGGAACAGCCTTAATCGGTGGGCTCTCTTGTCCCCAGCCCAGGTCTCTGACCGCCTCTGCCACGCTGACCCGGGCAGAGCCCTGAGGCCGGACCTCAGGTCGCCCCAAGAAGTGGACGTTTCCTTTTCAGTTTCAGCCACTTCCCACTCAGGTTCTCAGGGTTGCTGGAAGAGAGCAGCCTCCCGCCCATCACAGGAGATGAGCTCAGAGAGGGATGGTGACTAGTTGAAGGCCACACAGCAGGCAGGTCTGAGCCCCACAGTGCGCTCCCTGCCACCCCCCCACCCCGTGAATGAAAGCTTCCTACTTTGACGTGTTTCAGATGCACGGAAACCGCACACTGTACTGTTCAGCGCCCTGACCCACATTCCCCTTTGGTCACATTTTGCCACATTTGCTTTTTTATATTTCTTTTTTTTTTTTTTTAAGATTTTATTTATTTATTTGAGAGAGAGAGAATGAGAGACAGAGCATGAGAGGGAGGAGGGTCAGAGGGAGAAGCAGACTCCCCGCCGAGCAGGGAGCCCGATGCGGGACTCGATCCCGGGACTCCAGGATCATGACCTGAGCCGAAGGCAGTCGCTTGACCAACTGAGCCACCCAGGCGCCCTGCTTTTTTATATTTCTGCTCTACTTTTTCCTGAACCGTCTGATCATCAGTTGCCCCTGATTCTACCCCTAACATGTTCTGTTCTGAAGGACGGACTGAGCAGTCACGGCACAGTGAGGGGAATTGGGGTAGTGTGGGTGGGCCCCCTTGCCGGGTGCCCCAATGAGCTCTGCGGCAGCCTCTCGGCAGGTGGCCTGTCCTGGCCACAGCCTGGTGCCAGCCTCTCACGACATGGGCGTGGAAGATACAGCCAGTCACTCGGTAGGATGTCCCTCTGTGGGGCTCATCTGATGATTCTCACCAAGAGATTCAGCACGTGTGCTCTTGGCACAAAGAACACGTAAATGCCACTGCTGTGTCCTTTCTAGGGCGTCACCTTGAGAGGCACACAGTGTCTATTTGTCTATCCTGGTGATGTCCACTTGATCACCAGGTTCTCCTCTGCAAAGCCACTAACCCTTTAATAAGTAATTTATACAGAGGTATTTGCGACCGTGTGAATGTCTGCCATTCCCCATGCTCTGGTCCACTAGCTGCAGCATCCACCCTTGGTTCTTGCTGGACGCACACAGAGAGGTTTCTGGGTTCCTCCACTTGTGGGGTTTCATGGGAACGGGCCTCTCCCTGGCACCAGTTTTGAGCTTGGCGCCAGGTAACTGAAACTTTCATGGGTGCTCCCAGAGAGCTTGGGCACAGAGCTTTGGGGCCAAGGTCTGTTTGCCCTAAGGGGTAAACCCCGGACCCTTCTTGGAGAGCAGGGCTTGGGGTCCAGCATAGAGGGCAGTGGGTATCGTGGAAGGGAGGGCAAAGACCACTTCAGACTACTTCCTTTGTTCCCCTGCTCCCTGCCTGGACAGGAGCCGGGTCTGGAGGCCTGGCTTCCATCCTTGCCCAGAGCCAACCCAGTGTGGCAGCTGCAGGGGAGACTGGCGGGGGCGGTTCTTTACTAGACACTTCCTGGGTCTTGTGGGCCAGGGGTACCCAGAATTACCCTTGACCATCTAATATGTGGGCACCTCAGCAGGGCTAGCCCAGGACTTGCAAGCAGGGGGCTGTTCTGGGCTGCTTCATTGTTAGCCCGAGGTCCCTCAGTGGCAGGGATGCAGTCCTGTCCCTTCCTCAGACCCTAGGACCGGGCCTGGCACTTACTGGGTCTCAGAATGGCTTTGCAGAAGGGCATGCCTCTTTGTGGAAGGCCGGCTCCTCTGTCCACAAGGCCTCCTGGATACCAGGGAGTGGCACCCCTCGGGCCACCCCCATCCCCTGGACTGGCCCTGCTGCCCCAGACCCTGTGGCTTCCTTGGTGCCTCTCTGGTTTGAGTCAGGGAGGGGAGAGGCCCGAGGGGATGTGAGCAGTGCAGGGACCCAACGGAGGACCAGAAGCCCACTCTGCCCCCAGGATCACACCCCTGCACAGGCCCCCAACCTACAAAGTAGTGATGGTCGCACCTGCTGCACAGGCTGTGTTGGGAAAGGCTCAGTCAGAAAACATAGGTGCTGAGCCCAATTCCTCTCTTTGTCCTGGATGATGGGAGAGCCGGCAGTGGGGCCTAAAGCCGTTGGAGTCCCTTCAGGGGAAGTCCTGAGAGGGGTGAAGGACGCTTTTAATTTAAGTTCTCTGGAAAGGGGATGATAATAGCTTCTCACCTGTCACTCCTTCACCCCAGGGAACCCCCAGGCAGCCTCAGAAACCAAGAAGGAAATTATTAACCTCACAGTGCTTCCGGTCCCTGGACAAGGGTCTTGGTCCTTCAGAGCAGGGAGTAGGCGGTGCTGGGACAGAGGCTACAGTGAGCTCTGCAGGAGAGGTCCAGCCCCATCACCCCTGAGGACCTTCCCTGACCTGCAGGGTTGAGGCGTGGGGGCGGGGGGGGGGGGGCAGGTGGAAGCCAAGTGTGAGCTGCCAGCCCCCTTGTTCTGTGCCCGTCAGTACTCAGTCTCTGGCCCCTCTGGGGATTGGGCCCCCCGCCTCCCAACAAGACCCTGCCCCCTGGCTGTTTCTGTAACATCTGTGTTGTGGGTGGATGTGCCTTTCTGTAAATGCTGGACGTGCATGTGCTGTAACCCAGCATCCGGGGAATGGTCATTGTCCCGGGGGAGGACATGGCCTAAGCAAATGTACAAGCAGGGCCGTCAGGGCTCCTCTGTGGATTATGAATGAGCCAAGAGGCCCTGCCCATCCCCGGCCAGCCTCTGTTCTCCTGTGTCCCGGCTCTATGCTGCCCTGGAGGACAAGAGGAGAGCCGCTCCCTGAAGGCAGGTGAGGAAGGCCCAGGTGCTGCTCACCCAGCAGAGGGACCAGGTCATCAGGAAGCTCCCCAGGCACCAGGCCAAAATGAACCGGCAGTGTGCACATGGGCTCACTTCCCAGTAAAGGCTGTCTGCAGCTTGGGGGTGGGGTCAGTCCGTGTGGGGCCACTCCTGCTAGGGTCTGCTGTCTGAAAGCCACCTGCTGCTGGAGCTATGGCCCAGGTTCAGTGACCCCTTGGGAAGAAAGTTCTTGCAACTGGTTCCTTACCTGCTGAGAAGACATGCTAGCCGGGCTGTCCTCAGTGCGGCACAGTGGGTCATGGTCATCATGGTGACATGCTCCCTCTGCACAGGTCTGCTTTGTAGACAGCCCTACCTGGTCTGGTAAGGGCTGTTTGACAACTAATTCTTTATTATTCTTAACAGCTTTATTTTTATTTTTAAAAAATATTTTATTTATTTATCAGAGAGAGCACAAGCAGGGGGAGTGGGAGAGGGAGAAGCAGGCTCCCAGATGAGCAGGGAGCCCGATGCGGGGTTCGATGCCAGGACCCTGGGACCACAACCTGAGCCGAAGGCAGACGCTTAACCGACTGAGCCACTCAGGTGCCCCGATTAACAGCTTTATTGAGGCATATTCATCCATTTTGTGTGCACAATTCAGTGATTTTTGTTTTACAGTGAAAAAAGGTGCTTTTATTATAACACGGGGACAGGACCCGTGGGCAGAAAGAGTTGCCAATTCAATGATTTTTAGTAACTTTACCAAGTAGTATGACTATCACGAGCTTCACATCACCCCAAAAAGAAACCCTGTACCCAATAAGCAGTCACTCACCATTTCCCCCTTCCCTGGGGCCCTGGTGACCACTAATCTGCTTTATGGATTTGCCTGTTCTGGGCATTTCCTATAATTGGAATGCGGCACAGATCAGTACTTTATTCCTTTTTATGGATGAATACGTCCATTGTGTGGCTAGGCTACATTTTGTTCACCCATTGATCTGCTGATGGATGTCTGGGTTGTTTCCACCTTTTGGCCACTGCGGATAGTGCTGCCATGAAGAGTCCGGTACAAGAGTTTGTGTGGATGTGAATTTTCTTTTCTCTAGAAGCTGAACGACTGCACTGTATGGTATTTTTATACCTAACTTTTTGAGTCACCCGCTATTAGGTGTCATATATATGTTCTCATAAACAAATGTTATCAATGAGGAGAAAGTCACTCTTGATCCCCAACCCCAGAGCAAATGACGCTGTCCGTCCGCTGAGCATACGTCCAGACCTCTTCCTATGCGCTCATCGTTTCTCTATACCTAAAACCTTCAGTAAAATGAATTTTTAGAAGCGTAAATACTGAAATCATCCTGGATAAAGCATGCTGTCATCTGCGTTCTTCTCGTCTCGCGTCCGTATAGGGCTGCACGAACCCGGCTGATCCAACAGCTCCTTACCATTGGACCGGGCTGAATTACCAGCCTGGACCACCGCGCTCCGAGAGGGCTGTTCCCGCGGGCTGGCCCGCAGCGATGCTGCCGATCAGATGGGTGGAAAGGGTATTATTTCGATTTCCCATTTTGCAGAGTGGAAGTGCGTCTTCACACGCGTTCCCAGGTCCTTCATACTTCTTTGCCCATTCATCCTGTAAACAACTGCGGAGTCACCTCCTCCTGGAGTCCCACGCCCTGCCCCTGACGGGACCCCTACCCCGCCTGACCTGCTCGGACCCGGGGGGCCGCGTGGCTCCGGCCACGAGCCCCTGGGGGTAGAGCCCTTGCAGCCATCCGCCCTGGCGTCCAAGAGCAGGCGCCCAGGGCGCAGCCGAGGTTCGAGAACATTGGGCCTGGGCGACCAGGCGCCGTAAGCTAGGGGCCCATGGCCCAGGCAGCCGCCCACTCCCGCCCGCTCCCGGGATAGCTCTGAGCGTCGCCCCGGCGGCCCCGCCCCCGCCGAAGCGGAAGTCCCGCCTCCCCGGGCCTCTCCGAGCGCTGATTGGCCAGCCTCGGCCCGCCACGCCCAGTCCCCGCCCCACCGCGGGGAGGGCGGCTCCCGGGAGCGCAGTTCCAGGGGGCCTCGCCACCCTCGCGGGGGTGTCTGCGGGAGCAGCGGCTGCACCTTGCTAGGGGCTTTCGTTCTCCGGGACACAGCCGTGTCACCTCAGCCCGGGACCGTCACCATCCTGCTCCCGCCCGCGGGAGGGGGCGTATGCAAACAACCTGAAGCCCCAAGCTCCTGATTGGTGAGCGTGTAGGGAAAGGGGCGGGAAGCACGGGGCGAGTGGGGTGGGCTGAGAGGGGCCGTGATCGACGTGCGGGCGGACCAGTGGCTCTGGGCCAGAATCTTCCCCAAAGCTGAGTGGGGCGCGGTGGGGGCGGGCAGTCGTGACGGATGTGCGTACGGACCAATGGCCACGGGAAAGAGGCGGTGGGTGACCAATGGCGACGGCGTGTAGGCGGGGCGACCGGAGGCTTAACGGTGGAGTGTGGGAAACGGTGGGGGGGGCGGGCGGTCGTGACGGACGTACGCTCCGGCCAATGGGCCTGGGCGGGCGGGGGCAGCCAATGGCGGCGCTCGGGCCGGGGGCGGGGCGGCGGGGCTGCGCGGCGCTGTGCGGGAAGCGGCGGGGCGGCGGCGGCGGTGCTGAGGTAAGGCGGGTGGCGGCGGCGGCGGCGACGGGTGGTGGCGCAGGTGCGGGCGGACGGCGCGGGCGGGCGGACGGCCGGCGCGGGCGGGACCTGGCCCTCGCCGCCAGCCCGGGCCTCGCCGGCCGCCCCCGCTCACCCGCGCCCCGGGCCCGCAGGTCGGTCCGAGGCCTCCTCCCCGCCCTGCTCCCGCGGCCAGCGCCGTGGGCATGCGGGCGCGGCTTGCGCGCGCGTGAGGATGGGGACGCAGGGCAGCCCGGTCAAGAGCTACGACTACCTGCTCAAGTTCCTGCTGGTGGGCGACAGCGACGTGGGCAAGGGCGAGATCCTGGAGAGCCTGCAGGACGGCGCGGCCGAGTCCCCGTACGCCTACAGCAACGGTAAGGCCGTGGCGCGGGCGGCCCTCCGTGCAGCGAGCAGGCCTGCGGCAGCTCGCGATGTGTTTTCTTTCTCAGGCCTGTGTCCTCCGGCGAAGGCCCGAGCCCCGGGGTGGGGGGCGGGGAGCAGCTGGATCCAGAGCTCGCAGTATGCTTGGCCCTGGCCAGGTCAGATGGAGGCCTTCAGCGAGGCGAATGGCTTTGCAGTGGGCCCCTGGGTCCATCAGAGCAGAGCAGCGTGGTGGCTGTGGGCACGCGCCATCCCAGCCCCGGAGTGACAGCGCCCCAGAGGGTGCGTGAAAGTAGGTATGTTCCGGAGACCGGATGGAGGTACCTGAGGGGGAGCGTCCAGCGGTGGGGGTCCCACCGCCACCGGGGTTCTGTGCAGTCCAGGTGGAGAAGCTGGGACAGGGGTGCCAGGTATGGCTAGGGTTTTCCTGTGACCCTGTGGAATGTGTGTGCAGATGGGGTTCCTCAAAGGCAGGCTGACCCTGTGAGACAGTTGTTACTCAGTGCTCAGGGAACCGGCACCTTGTGCTGGAAGGAGATGCCCACCCCTCAATTTCTGGTTGCGTTGTTCAAGTACACAGGTAATACACATCCCCAGCGCTCGTCCCAGCTTCCATCAATTTACATCTTTCATGTAGGAAAAAAAGCAGCTAACGTGCCCAGGGGATCATTGTGGTCAGAACCTCCTCTGTGGTGGGGGCCCTGTTCCAGGCCACATGGAGGTTTTTTTGAGGGGTACCAGGAAATCTGCTGATAGCATGTCAACATCCAGTCTTTGTAAGGGCCTTTTTCTGATTTTACTTCTTCAGGTCTTTGTTCGCCACACCCTTTGTTACTTTGTTTCTTGGACTCTTGTCAGTCCTGTCTGACTGCTCTGAGCATTTGTTGTTGGCTAGGTTGTTGCCTATAGGCAGCTGACAGTGTGTGGACATGACCCTTTCATTTTAGGACTTGTCAAGGTTGTTGGATCACCTGCACTGGCTAGATGCCCTTCCTGCTGGACCAGCTTCAGCTGTAGTTAGCTGTGCTGGATTTGCACGGTGCCACCTCCTAAAGCATGTGCTCTCAGCCCCACCTTAGAGGAGATGGCTCGAAGGGCAAGAAAGGGGGGGCCCTGGATTTGTTTTTAGGTGAGGGAGAGCCTCCATTGGGGCCTCAGCAGGCCCTTTCATTGGTTACTGCCACCTCAGTAGACGCTTGGCAGTGACTGTCAGAGGTGTCCTTCCTGACTTAGTGAGTGGTTGAGTTGCTTTTCCAGTGGTAGCATTGCTTCCTGGAGCCCCACTCCCGGGAGGCTGGTGATGCATGTTGAGAAGAGCGTGAGAAGGCTAGGGCTCGTCTGGGGCAGCGGTGTTTTCCTGGAACGTTCATACATGCTTCTGAGGATCAGCTCGGCCTCACCGTCAGGGACTCCAGTCGGGTGCGGCGAGCTCTCAGGGAACACAGAGCCGCTGGTTGGAGAGATGGGACCCACCTCCTGTGCTCTCTGTTGGGTCGTGGTGGCTGCCACAGTTCCTAGGACACATTGACTGAACTAGGGTCAATATTAAGTAAAACATGGTGACCTGCCTGCGACAGTGCAGTTGTCGGAGACTCACAGTGAGCCTGGTCTAGGGTGAGGGCCATCTGCCGGAAGTGGTGAGGAAAGGAGCACTCACAGGTCCCTGCCATCACCCCAGCATCAAGTGGAAAAGGCAAAGTGCTGGCCTGTGTCTAGGATCCTTGAGGTTACGAAGCGTGCAGCACGAGGGGCGGCTGTGTGTGGTCAGGGCTCAGCTCACTGACCCTGGTGGCCAGTGCTGTGTCCCTGGGGAAGTGGGCAGAGGGGAGAGCAATTGCTTCTGCTCTGAAGCCTTCCTAAGGGAGACCCTTGAGGGTTTTGGAAGCTCTGGAGCAGCTGGTTCTCATGGTTCCCCATCACGTGAATTTGTTCTTTGTAAGAGTTAATACCTTCCAGGAATTTTTAAATTTCCGATTCTCTTAAAAGGATATACATGTATTTCTTTTCTCTCTTCATTGTTAAAAGTGCTTAGCACATTTCCAGGCTTGTTTTCTGCCTAAACTTGCGTGGTTCCTCTCACCAGGAGCAGATGACCCATGGCAGGGAAATCCCCACTTGGTGAAGGACGTGTAATCAAACTCCTTTCCTTGGGCCAACCTGATTACTTACCTGCATCGAAGTCTTGTCTAGCTCGTTCTTCAGACAGGTACATGAGTGCACATCATTCTTCCCAGCTCTGCAAACACGTGAGTCATTGAAACGGCCTTTTCTAGTGCTGACACCTGAAGCAGTGACAGCCTTATGTGACTGTGTGCCCACACCCATGGGAGCCTGCAGCAGGCTCTTGGTTTGTGGTTCATAGGTCCCTGTAGAGCTGGAAACCTTCCTTTCGGGAGGCTTGAGTTTCCTCTTTTCTGAACACACAGCAGTGGTTTTAGAGGAGGCCTCTGTTCTGTTGGGGAGACAGCAGAACACTTTGCATAGAGGTTCTGCCCGGGCCATCCTCAGGGAAGTTACACTCCAGAGCCTAAGTGTCAAGGAGGCTTGGTTGTGAAAGTTGGCAGGAATGAGGCGCAGGTGTTTTGTGAGCAGCTTATAGTCCTGAGTAAACCCGCAGGTCTGACTCTGCTCTGGGGCACTGGGAGCCCAGGGACTGTCCTTCCGCGGTGCACAGGCCTGGTCCCACTTTTCTGAGGCCAGTGAACATTCAGGGCAGTTACATGCTCTGCACCTTGGCTCCCACAAACCTTCACATTGAGGGTTGGGGACCGGCAGGAAGATACACTGGGGTTGATATGCCTGTGTCCTGGGAGACTCAAGAGTGGATGTGAATCCATCTCCATGTCTGCTCATCTGGGGTCAGTGTTGGTGGGAGCTGCTGAGTGTACTTTGAGCCCAGGGCCTGGGGGGCGGGGAAGGTAGGAGGAGCGCAGTGTTGGTGACGGGTGTGGACAAAGCCAGGCGAGCATGAGGTATGCTGTGAGTATCTGGGGCCTGCTGGCTGTTGGTGTGTATGGGACCAAACAAAGCCTGCTCTGCCCAGGGAGGAGCAGCCCACTTCAGCAACCCGATGGCTAGGCTGGAGCTCATCATGTCCCCCAGCTCCATGGTTTTTCACTGGACAGTTCTTTTTTTTTAAGATTTATTTATTTGACATAGACACAGCGAGAGAGGGAGCACAAGCAGGGGGAGTGGGAGAGGGAGAAGCAGGCTTCCCGCTGAGCAGGGAGCCCAATGCGGGGCTTGATCCCAGGACCCCGGGATCACGACCTGAGCCGAAGGCAGACGCTTAACGACTGAGCCACCCAGGCGACCCTTCACTGGACAGTTCTGAACATCTCTTCTCACCTGGCTGGAAGTTGGTTTCTATCCTTAGTGCAAACCCAAGGAGAGACTGCATCTCTAGATGCGCCACCATGCTGTTTTCCTGAGTCAGGATGGGTCTCTGGTGTCTCATCCGCTGTTTTATCCCTGGTGTTGGTGTGAGATGTATGCCCAGGAGGCATTAACTGCTGTGTGTCCTAAATGAACGAGCAGCCTGTGTGCAGTGTCTCTGTGTTGACAGAAACCTGGTGTTGGTTGCTGGGTCGTCCTTCGTCGTCCCTTTTCTTCCTCTGTGTGTGGTTGGTGCTTGTGTCTGGACTCTGCCCATTTTTCTGGGCAATTTACTGGGATTTGCCTTTCTGTCAGATGCCAGGTTCCAAAGAGGGATGTTGGCCTGGGGTATGATGTGTGCCCAGCATGGTCACAGTGCTGGGCTCCCCCAGTTCTCTTTCCATCATCTAGGCGTCTCTGCCATCCTGTGACGGAGGCACCATCATTGTCCCATTTGGCAGATGAGAAGCTGAGGCTCAGACAAGAGAGTGTAGCTGCCGTAGGCAGTGCAGGGCCTGGCGCCCGTTGTCTCCCTAGGCACTGGCTGCCCGACCCCCTTCCCCTGGGCAGCTGGTCACTGAGTTCCTGGTTGACGCTTCTCTCCAGGCTTTGTTAGGCAGAGTATGGCTGCTGGGCACCTGGTGCTGACTGGCAGGGATGACCCTCTTCTCATCACAGACCCTCCCCGATACTGGGGCTGCCTCCTCCCTCTGCTCTGGGGCCTGGGACAGTCACTGAGGCCCATTTGTTCTCCCTTCACTGAGCTGCTCCAGCCCTGCCTGCCTCCCTCCTGGCCGAGACCAGTAGAACAGAGCCCTGACAGCTCCCGGGGTCAGCTGCTAACCAGGGCAGCAAACCACCAGTTTCCAGAGAAGTTTCCAGCAGGTCACAGAGTGCCACACATACACCTATCTGTGCAGGGCTGGGATTCCTAGCTCCCCCTTTGCCAGAGGCACTCATCTGCTATGTGTGCCGCGTAAAGATCAGCTTAGCCCAGCTTGACGGGGTGGCAGGCCGGGAGGCGCAGACTTCTGTATCTGCTTCAGATGAAGTTAATTAGGCCGGTTGGTCATTTGAGCTGGCATGGCCTTGCCTAAGTTGTCCTAAAGTAGGTAGAATATTTAAAATTTTAAATTTTTCCCCCAGCCTTGAGCAGTTTCCGTAAGCTCAGGCAGGTCAGAGAATATCTGCCTCAGTAGCCGGCACATGGCGTTGCAGGGCTGACCTCTCTTGCAGGGTGCGCTGTCACTGTGACATTGCTGTGTCATGTTCCCATCAGCAAGTGTGGCTTGGTTGATGAAGTCAACAGAAATGTGTTTCAGGAAGGAGACCCCAAAAGGGAGCCAAGGAAGTAGGTGGGAAGTGTTTTTTCGGGTACTTCCCCTCCTGTTGTACCTGAATTGTACCTGGTCTGGGACCCGTGGCCAGTGAGGAGGAGGAGCGGAAGGCAGAGGGTGGAGTTGTAGCCAGGCCTGGGGAGTGGGCAGCACCTGGTGTGGGTGTTGTGGGGTCTGGGGCCACATGGGTCAGGGTGTTGCCATCTGCCATATGGAGGAAGTGGGGTAAGGTCTCCATGTCCAGTGCCCTGGTTTGGAGCAAGGTGGCCCACGGGGCTGGG